TATTAAACAAAAGGAATGAGTAATCTAATATTACTCAGTGAGTCTAGGACCTCTATACAAGGGGATTCCCTAAACTCCAAACACAAACGCCGCGGGCTTCTAACCCCGCCTGCACCTGCAATGAGGTTAGCACAACACAACATATGCAATCACACACAATAATGATGCTATAGCCTTAAGACTAACCGTACCCCAATCAAACAAGAACAGGTACGATCAATCCAAGACTATAACAACATACAAACAAGCAATCTATATGCAATGCCCATGCAAACCTAGACAAGTATCTAATACTTGTTTTCTATATGCAATAAGGCGCCTAGGTGCATTAGCCACATTCTCTGCCCACGCCTGTGAAGGTTCACGCTCATCCGGAATCACACAGAAACTAGATGAACGCCTTCACCCGGGCACTACAGTCCATCGCGGTACCCGGTTCATCCTTCCATCTATTGGCCTTACTGGCGCACCATGCCAATGTCTGGTTGGATCCCATATCGTCATATGGTACCATACTCGGCCAAGGCAGCTGACCAGGTTATCCTCCGAGTCTTCCTCCCTTCATGCACAGCCTCCACGCTGCCAATCCGGTTGGGCTCTGACGTGCGAGAATGCGCTTGACTACACCTTCCTAGACAACATGTGGTTAGACACGCCACATGTTCTCAGTACTTAGCATATGGGCCTTTACGCACCACTATGCCTCATACCACCGGTTCTGCGGCAGAGCTTCCCTTGCCTCGGAAGAGTACCCACAAGAACCTCGAAAGATCTGGCGGCTCAGCCGTCCGTGATCTTTCCACATCGGAGTCATACTCAACATATGGGCCTCACGCACCACCATGTTAGTTGCACTCGAGGTTTAGCGGCATAGCCATGCTATAACCCCACAACCGATGCATCTATGAGATTTGGCGGCATAGCCATCCACAATCTCACATCACCTAATGAATAGATATGCATCTACACAAACAAGATCTGACGGCATAACCTTCCCCGAAGGTCACCCATCACAATCTTACACAGAAAAGAGATCTGTTGGCATATCCTTCCCCGAAGGTTACCCAACACAACCTCACACACAAAAGAGATCTGGCGGCCTAACCTTCCCCGAAGGTTACCCGACACAACCTCACAACACAAGAGATTTGATGGCATAACTTCTCTCCCTAGAAGATTACCCATCACAACCTCACAACAATGCAAACCTGCATACAAACACACAAGAGATTTGACGGCATAACTTCTCCCTAGAAGATTACCCATCACAACCTCATAACACATTATACAAATTTCTGCAGCATAACTCTCCACAATTTTTACTAAACCTTATTGTTTAGAGAGTTATACTACAGAACCAATAACCAATATGAACAGAAAGCATCTCCCATGCTTTGGTGTTCATACAACCTGCATACACACACAAAGATCCAAAATACTTAAACTATAACACCAAGACTTACCACTTTAAGAAGACTTCAAGACCCTCCTAGCTTTCCTTAAGCTTTGATCTTGACCTACTCTAATCTTCCACTAACCTCACTTAATTAAGAAAACTTTCTTAATTACTCTCTAAGACTCACCACTTTAAGAAGACTTCAAGACCCTCCTAGCTTTCCTTAAGCTTTGATCTTGACCTACTCTAATCTTCCACTAACCTCACTTAATTAAGAAAACTTTCTTAATTACTCTCTAATCACTTTTCAGGTGCTCTCTAGCTTTGGGAATGGAATGGTTTGGACTTGGGGTGGAGGAGCGTATTTATAGGAGTTCAGGAGGCTGCCTGGCTTCTTGGGACGTCTCCAGTCATGTGCAGACACATGGAGACCTAGGTCTAGCATAGCTTTGCTTGGTGGCGACCTACACTGCCTCAGAACGCGACATCCAGGCGGTCTAGGCTAGGTAGCTTTGATTGGTGGCCTCTAGGGCGTCTCAGGACATGACACACGTCATTCCTATCCCCTCTCAATGCTCATCCAATGAGCCGACTTCCCCCAAGCATGTGGTGTGATCGTCCGATTGGTTATAACTCATCTTATCTCCTTAAGCTGCTGTGTGCTTCTGTCCGATTGGTCAGCTCTTGATCCAATCCGTTTCTTCTCTTCTACACTTGCTTCTCATCCACTCCTGAAGCTTATACTCTCTCCCAGTAGGTTGGTGTTGCATCTGATTCGTCCAAGTCAGTTTCGTCTCCATTGAGCATCTCAATGTCTCCGTCTGATTGGTTTGGACGATTCTTGTCTCTCATGAGCAGCTGGGTGTCTCTCCCTGATAGAATTAGGTATTCTTGGAGTTTATCCACGCCCTCTCTCCTCTTTAGCAGCTGGTGTCGTTGCCCAATTGGCTTAGGCTTGCTTCGTCTTCATTCGGTAGCTGGATGTTGCTACATGATTGGCTGAATGGTTTTGGCTCCATCTGAGTAGCTGAGTGTCTTCTCCATATTGGTTAGTCATCCTTATCTTCCCCAAGTAGCTGGTGTCACCACTTGATTGGCTTAGAACAAGATTGCTCCAAATGTACGTTTCCTCGTCCAGAGGGTTTCGTACGTTTCCCTGTCTGGAGGGTTTCGTCCCCGTCGTGCTTGAGAATTAAAATCTCCTATTTTAATCCTTCTCTCATTTCCATGTTTCTGAGCTTCCACATAGTTGCTTGGAAATGTGCGGAATACCTCCATCCGAACATTTACGTTTCTTGCAGTCGTTGCGGGATAGATCTTGGGCGTCCGTCCCATCTCTCAATCTGCTCGTCCGATTTGCATTCTGCTTCGACCAAACTTCTTAGAATGGTCTCTTATGTCTTCTAGACTCTTCTCTTCCCATGTTCGCACAATGATCGTCCCACCTGGACAATCTTGTTGTATCTTCAGTTCTGCTCGATCGTTCTTGATCCTGTCTTGATCCAAGTCTTCGTTGTGATCTCTGGATTAGATCCCACGTCTTTGTCTTCCAATCCCAGAGTGTTGATCTTCCCATCCCGGCCTTTGGGATGTTTTAGGTCTTGATACGGGGTATCACATTCTCCCCCCCTTAATAGAATTCGTCCCCGAATTCCAGTTGTAGAGAGTAGGAACGTTCCATTGTTCCGGTGTCTCTCTCCACTTTGAAGATGCCTTGCCTCCTCTTACTCTGTCTTCACGTTGTCCCTTGCAGACTCCTCTTACTTTGTCTTCACGTTGTCCCCTTGCAGACTCCTCTTCCACTGATCTCCTCTGATCCTCCTTGCTCAAATCTCCATTCCCATAACCATCCATCCCGGCTTTAACTATGGGTTATCTAATGTCAAAACCGTACCTTAACCAACACTTCCCTGTTGGTCTTGATCCCGGTCTGACCACTCTAGCGAGGTTCTCCTAACTTCGCTAACCACCTAACCTCTTACTCAAGGATTTCCGTCCTAGCTTTATTTCCCTCTTGGAAACAGCATTCACGGAATTTCCTTCTATTAACACATCGCTTCCCTTTAAGGGTTCCACTCGATGTGCTAATACCCAAAACTACTTTACCAGAACCAACTTGGTTCCAAGGATATCCGCTCTAGTTTCATTTCCCCACTGGAAATAGAAACATCGGAATCTCCTTTCACCACATCGTTTCCCAAAACATGGGTTTCCTAAACGATGTCTCTACCAAACTCAACTTAAACCACCAAACAATCCTACTTACTATACCAAGCAAGCAAGAAAATAAACCATTCAAAGATTGAGTTAGAACCCGAAAAATACCTTTTCTCGGCATGTGGTTTAGGGTTCCTAGACTCTATCTTACATTCTACGGCTTCCACTCCCTGGTCGCCTCTCTCTCCTTGTGGTTGAGCGGGTGGGTTGACTAGTACTGGGGCAGTTCCTTGGACAGTCTGCTGAAATGGCCTTTCTCTCCACAAGTAAGGCAAATGTTCTGCCTTTCATTCATCCTTGATCTAGCTCGCACATTGGGACATGCTGCTATGATGTCCCGTCCTTCCACATTGATCGCATGGTAGCGTGACTTGAGACGGTGCTGGGACTCTCATCCTCGCGAGTCTTCTGGGAGGCCTTCCCCTTTGGCGTGACACAGTTTGCTCTTGGCCATTACCCTCTGTTCTGAGATTCTCCAATTCTGTGGCGATTATCTCATCCCACCTTCTTGCTAGGTTAAGACCTTCATCATCTTGTAGCCATTCATTCTCTCCGGTACCTTCCTCCGTGGTTTGGTTAAGATCCGGTATTTGATGTTGAGCTCATTGCCTGCCACCGAGTTTGGTGCATCTTGTTCTCCATACATTGTACACCACATTGCATTAGCTTCTCCTTGATCTTGAGGTATGCTTCCTTCTCCATGCTCCATTGATGATGTGTATCCAGCGATCTCGTTGAGTTTCCTTGTCCAGTACGTGGGTGATACGTTCTGGTGTCCAAGATAATCCTCCCATGTTGGTTCCGGCGTATCCGGTTCTTCAGGTTGGTTTCTGAAGACTTCACTATTGACTTGAACTGCAACGGCTGGATCATTGCTTTCTACGCCAGTGGTAATGAACGGGTACACGTAGTCCGTTGGATTCTCCTCCGTTGGCATGTACGGGTATACTCCACCTCCCGGTGCAAATACATGCGGCATTGGTATATGCGGTAGAACACTTGGTGGACTATCTCTATCCCAAGAGTTTGGTGTAGTCTCGCCTGAACTGATCTCTATGATCTGAGTAGATGGCACTACTCTCTCCTCCTCAGGGTAATGTACTGGCCAAGTCATGTGTTCGCCATACTCATTCACCGTTGTGCTGGGCTGCACGTTGTCTCTCGGCATAAGATATACGTCCTCGTCCCAATCACTGCTGCTATCATGATCTGTTAGTGTCTGCTGTTCCAAGTCCGTCACTACGATCCAGTGCTCCGAATTGCTCGACGGTTCTGAACTCGACGATCCAGACTCCACTGTCCACTCTTGCCCAGTACTAAACCACGACCCCTCATCATCCACAAACCAGTCACTCATGACTTCAAGCTATCACCACAAAGCAAACATTAGGGTTCCTATTCAACACAATCTATCCCATGGATGATCCGCATCCATCTATTCTATGGATGATCAACACCCATAGACACCTCAAATGTGGCTTACCACATTGCACAATGTTACCATAACCTCTATACTGACCATGCAACAATCAAACAAGAACATGCATGATCAATCAGAAATTATAAGCAACATCAAGCAATGCTTAACCACAACCTAAACATTCTACCTATATGCTGCAGACAGACCAGATTACCTAAGGTAGTTTTTGCGACTCCTTTTTGACTCGATAAAACGTTTTAAAATCCTTGTTCCCGAGCATGATCATGAACCATGCTCTGATACCACCATTTGTAACACCCCCGAACCGTCCTAGGCACAGACGTTCCGAGAAGCGCCACAAAATGTCGATGTTCGCCGAATAGGCCATCCCAGACTAAGAACAAATCAGAGCCCAGGTCAGCCCGTCCACGAACTCGACCCTCTTGACCAAAGCCTAAGGCTTGCCAACCCGTACTTCGGTCAGGAGTTGTGTTAGCCCGGACCAAGCTAATATCATTGGAACATAAGGTCTTTACATAAAACTTTCCTTTATTAAAATATCAGAGTGCTTACAAAATCCGACTTAAAAACATGCGGATCGATCCTTAGTTCCAAACCAAACAACAAACCATAATTTTACAAAAACATACCACAAAACTATTCTGGCGCCTACTGCCTGCAGCGGTCCGCTCTACTTCACACCTCTACGGTCACCTGAAAACATTAAACAAAAGGAATGAGTAATCTAATATTACTCAGTGAGTCTAGGACCTCTATACAAGGGGGATTCCCTAAACTCCAAACACAAACGCCGCGGGCTTGTAACCCCGCCTGCACCTGCAATGAGGTTAGCACAACACAACATATGCAATCACATGCATATTGATGCTATAGTCTTAAGACTAACCGTACCCCAATCAAACAAGAACAGGTACGATCAACCCAAGACTATAACAACAATCAAAAAGCAATCTATATGCAATGCCCATGCAAACCTAGACAAGTATCTAATACTTGTTTTCTATATGCAATAAGGCGCCTAGGTGCATTAGCCACATTCTCTGCCCACGCCTGTGAAGGTTCACGCTCATCCGGAATCACACAGAAACTAGATGAACGCCTTCACCCGGGCACTACAGTCCATCGCGGTACCCGGTTCATCCTTCCATCTATTGGCCTTACTGGCGCACCATGCCAATGTCTGGTTGGATCCCATATCGTCATATGGTACCATACTCGGCCAAGGCAGCTGACCAGGTTATCCTCCGAGTCTTCCTCCCTTCATGCACAGCCTCCACGCTGCCAATCCGGTTGGGCTCTGACGTGCGAGAATGCGCTTGACTACACCTTCCTAGACAACATGTGGTTAGACACGCCACATGTTCTCAGTACTTAGCATATGGGCCTTTACGCACCACTATGCCTCATACCACCGGTTCTGCGGCAGAGCTTCCCTTGCCTCGGAAGAGTACCCACACGAACCTCGAAAGATCTGGCGGCTCAGCCGTCCGTGATCTTTCCACATCGGAGTCATACTCAACATATGGGCCTTACGCACCACCATGTTAGTATGCACTCGAGGTTTAGCGGCATAGCCATGCTATAACCCCACAACCGATGCATCTATGAGATTTGGCGGCATAGCCATCCACAATCTCACATCACCTAATGTATAGATATGCATCTACACTAACAAGATCTGACGGCATAACCTTCCCCGAAGGTCACCCATCACAATCTTACACAGAAAAGAGATCTGTTGGCATATCCTTCCCCGAAGGTTACCCAACACAACCTCACACACAAAAGAGATCTGGCGGCCTAACCTTCCCCGAAGGTTACCCGACACAACCTCACAACACAAGAGATTGATGGCATAACTTCTCTCCCTAGAAGATTACCCATCACAACCTCACAACAATGCAAACCTGCATATAAACACACAAGAGATTTGACGGCATAACTTCTCTCCTAGAAGATTACCCATCACAACCTCATAACACATTATATAAATTTCTGCAGCATAACTCTCCACAATTTTTACTAAACCTTATTGTTTAGAGAGTTATACTACAGAACCAATAACCAATATGAACAGAAAGCATCTCCCATGCTTTGGTGTTCATACAACCTGCATACACACACAAAGATCCAAAAACTAAAACTATAACACCAAGACTCACCACTTTAAGAAGACTTCAAGATCCTCCTAGCTTTCCTTAAGCTTTGATCTTGACCTACTCTAATCTTCCACTAACCTCACTTAATTAAGAAAACTTTCTTAATTACTCTCTAATCACTTTTCAGGTGCTCTCTAGCTTTGGGAATGGAATGGTTTGGACTTGGGGCTGGAGGAGCGTATTTATAGGAGTTCAGGAGGCTGCCTGGCTTCTTGGGACGTCTCCAGTCATGCGCAGACACATGGAGACCTAGGTCTAGCATAGCTTTGCTTGGTGGCGACCTACACTGCCTCAGAACGCGACATCCAGGCGGTCTAGGCTAGGTAGCTTTGATTGGTGGCCTCTAGGGCGTCTCAGGACATGACACACGTCATTCCTATCCCCTCTCAATGCTCATCCAATAGGCCGACTTCCCCCAAGCATGTGGTGTGTCGTGCCGATTGGTTATAACTCATCTTATCCATTAAGCTGGGTGCTTCTGTCTGATTGGTCAGCTCTTGATCCAATCCGTTTCTGCATCTCTCCACTTGCTTCTCATCCACTCCTGAAGCTTATACTCTCTCTCAGTAGGTTGGTGTTGCATCCTGATTCGTCCAAGTCATTTCGTCTCCATTGAGCACCTCAATGTCTCCGTCTGATTGGTTTGGACGATTCTTGTCTCTCATGAGCAGCTGGGTGTCTCTCCCTGATAGCATTAGGTATTCTTGGAGCTTATCCACGCCCTCTCTCCTCTTTAGCAGCTGGTGTCGTTGCCCAATTGGCTTAGGCTTGCTTCGTCTTCATTCGGTAGCTGGATGTTGCTACATGATTGGCTGAATGGTTTTGGCTCCATCTGAGTAGCTGAGTGTCTTCTCCATATTGGTTAGATCATCCTTATCTTCTCCAAGTAGCTGGTGTCACCACTTGGTTGGCTTAGAACAAGATTGCTCCAAATGTACGTTTCCTCGTCCAGAGGGTTTCGTACGTTTCCCTGTCTGGAGGGTTTCGTCCCCGTCGTGCTTGAGAATTAAAATCTCCTATTTTAATCCTTCTCTCATTTCCATGTTTCTGAGCTTCCACATAGTTGCTTGGAAATGTGCGGAATACCTCCATCCGAACATTTACGTTTCTTGCAGTTGCGGGATAGATCTTGGGCGTCCGTCCCATCTCTCAATCTGCTCGTCCGATTTGCATTCTGCTTCGACCAAACTTCTTAGAATGGTCTCTTATGTCGTCCAGACTCTTCTCTTCTTGATTTGGAGAACTTTGATATTTCGTCCGTCGGCTCTTCCCATGTTCGTACAATGATCGTCCCACCTGGACAATCTTGTTGTATCTTCAGTTCTGCTCGATCGTTCTTGATCCTGTCTTGATCCAAGTCTTCGTTGTGATCTCTGGATTAGATCCCACGTCTTTGTCTTCCAATCCCAGAGTGTTGATCTTCCCATCCCGGCCTTTGGGATGTTTTAGGTCTTGATACGGGGTATCACAGACGGTGTTCGGCTGGTTTAAAAAAAAATTAATACCTCCTCGGTTAACCTAATCCGAACCAAATTGATTTGAGAACATAATAATACAACCAATATTTAAGATTTATAGACTTAGACAACATATGTAAAATTACTTTTTGAAGAAATGGAAATAACTTTAAACGGAATGTCAAATGTGAAATATTATATTATACAACATTATAACTCATCAAACGAAACTGAGCAAACCCGTAAAACGACACATATTTATGTTATACTGTTCAGACATTGAAGCCGGGTTGATTATATTTGCTCGGAGTTAGGATCTAACATGAAATTATAACAATTTATATACATATTTATTGCATCTCATACTAATATAATCAAAATATAACTCACCAAACGAAACCGAGCAAAGCCGTAAAACGACACATATTTATGTTATACTGGTCAGATATTGAAATCGGTTTGATTATATTTACTCGGGGTTAGAATCTAGATGGTGTAATAACAATTTGTATATATATATATATATATTTCATCTCAGACTTAAATAATCAAATTAACACTAATTGATCATCATATATCACAAACATATATACTATTATTTACATAATTACCGTGTCAATATTTAAAAACATTTTATAACAGTTACAATATCCCGTGCTTTCCAAGCACGGGTCAGGATCTAGTTTACATTATAAATCAAATATATGCACTGACATAATGATATTGATATGTTTTCAGGTTTTCAAAAAGTTTGGTTTGGGATTTTTCGGGTTTTCTCCGGGTTTTAGGTTTTCAGATTTAGAGATATAAATTTTTTTAGTGTTTTTCAGAGTAGGTTTGGGTTCATGTTTTGAGTGTAAGACAAAGGCCTAAACTTAACCATAACTAGATCTTGACCCGTGCTGCTACAGCACGGGTTGTTGTATCTTATAAGGAAACATAATATTATGCTAATGAGGTGAATGTGATAATCAAATTATCATTACTCTAATTTAGGGTTAAAATAAATTATTCAATTATAGATGAAAGTGAGATATTATGTGTTTGTGTGTTTAATTTAGGGAGACATATTAAAAATCTGATTTTATGAGATATTAGTAAAATAAAAATGATTGACTTGTTTGTTTAACGCACATTTGGTAGATACCAGATATTGCAATTATGGCTCAATTCATTGTATTTTTTTATTTGATTACATTAACGAATAAACAAATGAAATAATATACAAATATCAAAGAGAAACTAGATCCTTATTTTTCGAATGATGATGTGAAATTGACGTTATCTGATGTAGTGGGATAAATTCACGAATGAAAATCCGGTGAAGATAAAGACTTATCAGAGTTTAAAGTTCGGAGACAGCAGCATCGTGTATTCATCAAAAAAAAGATAAAGAGCTTTAGATATAAGTGATTTAGCATTTCCTTTACTTCAAATCTGAGGATGCTTTCAAAATAAATGTCTCACTCGAAAAAACTAAAATATAAAAATCATGCTTATTCAACATTTTTTTTATAAGGGATCAAATCAGTTATTTTTCTTTATATAAATTATGCATATCTTTTTAGAACTTACATGTCATGATCGTACGTAAAATATTAGACATGTAAAACACACTTAGAAAAATATGACCATTCTTCATTACCTTGTTTGGAGTACAAAGTTGAATCAGGGTGGATCCTATCCGCTGGTACATAATTGTAAAAAAAATACTGTATGAAAAATAATTTGAGGATACTTTGAAAAATAAATATCTCACTTAAAAAATATAAAATATAAAAATCATTCTTCTGCAACACTTATTTAAGAGATAGCGCCACTTATTTTTATTTTTATTTTATATATGAATTGTGCATAACTTTTGGAATAAAGAGATAGATTTGTTCATGTTAAGATCACATGATCGTTATTATTTTTGTTTAGTTTTTGGATCTATAAATTTTCTTCAGGAAAAATTATCAGAGTATCACATAAATTTTTTTGTCTCAAAATATAAACAATTTTGTCTTATCAATGCAACTTTTACTTTATAAAATATTGAGTCAGTCTATTTTTTTTTTATGATTGGTGAGATTGTGATTAATTTATCTATTAAATAATATTTTATTAAATAAAAATAATTTTGTTAATTTTTCACTTTTGTCTAGAAGTGCTTACATATTGGGACCGAGGGAGGGAGTATATAGATCTCACTTTTCTTCTTTGCTGGTTCTCACCCATCGACTCACTTTATATGAAGTTTCGAGAATTCAATTCGCTGATGAGCTGATAATTCCATTCTGTCTATGTTCACTGGATGACTGTATATAAAATTTGGATTAGAAGTGACAAATTGATGAGCAGATGATTTGATAGGCTTTGCTTACTCTTATTATTCTCCTTTTTTGTTGCTAATGACGTTTACACATAGATATTTATACATGATAATCACAGTCCCGTGTTTCAAAGCATAAATGGAGCAGTCTTTTAGATAGCTTTGGTCAATAAAAAATAATCTTCATATTTGCTGGAATAATTATGTTACGAACAAAGTAAATAAATATTATGTCTATATACTCAGGGAAAACAACACGAAGGCAGACAAGTTAGCACGTAGTGCTCGAGCTCTACCTACTGATGTGTATTATGTAAACTCTGTTTCACCAACTTGGATTTCTGGGTTGGTTTAAACTAGAGTCGCTGTTGACAAAAAATATATATATATATATATATATATATATATATATAATTGAATACACTAACGTTTCAATAACATTTTAAATAAAACTATACATTTCTTAAACTAACAAATCAATATAGATGCTCTATCATCATTCCACTGTTGCTTTCAATAACGCTTGTATTATCACTAGAATTCAACCCGCGCTACGTCGCGGTGGTATTTTCTTCTTTACCTTTTTTCTAGTTTTAATTTATTATGAATATTATTTATTTTGGTCATTATTAAAATTAAGGGTCGTTAAGAATAAACGAAAAATAAAACTAAATATATATATTTTTCATTGTAGTGTCACTTGAAATCGGTTATATTAAGAATATACAAATCATTGTTTATTAATTTTTATTTGAATATGAAAATATTGTAAAAAATATTAACTTCAAAATGTACATTCCATCAAATCCAAATTAACTTAACTTCATTTGAATACACTGCTACTTATATATGGCATTTTATTTGCTGAATCTTTTTCACAGATTTTCAAGTGTGCTTTAATATCTGCTTTGCTTAAATTTACTTTTACAATGACAAATTCCGCCACGGTTTTTTCATATTATTTGTTATTATTTGTTTGTACTTTATAACGTAACTTATTTTTCTTGACTTATAATTTGATATTTTTTCAAATTATTTATTAGGAAATAAATTATATGGAAGTAATTTTTCATTCTTTCACACTTCCCCTCAGTTTTCTTCTTCACCTGTCACTAAAATTCAGTTTGATTAATAAAAAAATCTTGTAGAGTTTTTTTTTGTTAAATAAAATTTACAATGTACATGTTTTAATTTTCCTAAAACGTTTTTGTGATCTTTGAAAAATTATTTTATTGTGGTCCGTGTGTTAGCCTTAAAAGACATAAGTTAGCTAAATCACCCGTTAGAGTTCCACATTTTTTAATTTTAGTATCCTACTTCACGTCAAATTTTAGTCTCCTATTGAAATAGGAACCTAATCCAAAATCAATCGAATTCTCACCAGTATTTGCTGTTAGTTTTTAAAAATGCCACATTTTATAAGACATTTATAAAAACACAGAGATTATTGTGACTTTTCCAGTATCCAAAGTCCAAACGAACACAAATTGTTTTACATATGAAATGATAGTTCTTCTCACAAAAATTCACAACTTTTTGTGTGACAAACTACTACTAAAATATTTCTCTCGCAAAATCATCGCCAGCTATTATTTGTTTTTCTTTCTACAATTTTGGGCTTTCATTGGTTTTTCTCTCAACTTATAAAAAAACGTTATAACCATTTGTATTATGTGTTTGTCAAAATACAGAAAAAAAAACTATAATGGGAAGAGGTTTAAGGCTAGAACAGCCATGAAAAGTAAAATGGAAATAAGAATGTTTGACACGGTAAAAAAAATGGAAATTTTGAAGGTAGTCTTTGATATATGAACTCCTCAAGACGAGACATTCAACACTTGAAAAGCTACTGCTTTAGGAATTTAAGCGTGCTTAATGTTATTAAGAGCCATGGAGACAACAAGTACATAAATGCAGAAATATTGGTACGGTCGTCAACAATTGCTATGCCTAGATCATTCTGAGAACCAACTCAGTTCAGTAGCAAAAACCAAGCATGAGGGAGACTCAAATTCGACGCGGACATGAATCAATCACACCTTTATTGTCGGAACTCGTTTTTGACAAAATGGTTTAAGTCCATTTTCCGGTTGGTTTTCCGGTGAAGACGTTTGTCGAAAAAACCATATGTTAGGCACGAAAGAATCGTCGCCATGAACACTATGAAATAAGTGTATTCATATGTCAAAATCAGAGTTGATTTGAATGAGAAATGGAGTTTATAAATGGGTGTTTATAAAAGCTTATAAAGTTTTTTATATTTGGCTAAGTGTTAAAATTAGCAAATAGCCCATATTAGATATTTGGATTTGAGTTTGGGTTATAATTGTTAATTGGATATCAAGTCCATTAACTTATTATAGTGAACCAAATTAAAGTTAATCTTTTGTGTTAAGACTTAATTTACACAAAAAAGAAATCCATATACTAAAATATTATTGCTTTAAATTTGATCAAAGCAAAATATCTTAGTCTATTATTACGTGGTCAAAGTCATATGGTCAAAGTCATATTGTGACTTAATAATATTGATTGCTACGTGATTTGCTCCATTATGTTGTGATATGTTTTTGGTCAATACGAAGACCATGCAATTATGTCACTTGATCTCATTCTTTTCCTATATAAAGCCTCTTGTGCTTCATAGGAAATCATTCATTCAACACAGAAAACATTCCTCACAAGTTTAGTTTCTCTCTTATTTTTCTTTTCTTTTATTTTGTGTCTGAGAGTATAACACAGAGTTAGGTTCGTTAGCTTCTATTCCGAGTGTTGCGGAATAGTCGAGTGCGGTTGTATCTTGGGATTCTGATTGCATAAACATCGTCACACTACGGGCAATTAAAGAATTAAGGAAAGAGTGTCTCGCCTCCGCACAAACCCGTTCTTCCCGTTCTTCATTTACCTTTAATTGGTATTATGTCTTGTATTTTTATTATCTCTTTATCATTATATTAAGAATTGGTCAGTTTGCCTTATAGTAGAAATTCTTGGTCCTACATTCTTAATTCTTTAATTTTTTGTTATTGTACTAACAAAAAAAAGATCATTTCTTAAGTTTTATTTTTGATTAAGAACAGGTATTTTCTGGTGGTTCATTATTCAATCTAGAATTATTTTCTAGAATTTTTATTTCAGGGAAATTTTTTTTTCTCACAAATAATTTAAATCAGCTCTTACCATTATTGGTTTGTGAGAGGATTTTATTAGAGCTCAATATCCTTTTATTTTATTTATTTTATTGCTATTATTTATTTTCCAGAATTATTATTTTCGAGAACTGTTAATTATTATATTCTGGAAAATTAATTTTCAGTAATATTTTAATTATTTAATTGTCTCAAGATTATTTTGTTATATTGTTGTTAATTCTGGACTAAGCAAATAATTGGTTTGCCAAAAAACATATTTTAATTGTTTTGTTTACTGGTTTAATGTTACAGTTATGTTCTCATTGTTGTCATTGTTGACTTATACTTTCTAAGAATTACTATCATTAAAGTTAGCATATTTGTTTTGTCACTTGCTGTGAATTTAATACTCCCTCCGTTTCATATTACTTGTCATTCTAGAGAGAATTTTTTTTTTCATATTACTTGTCATTTTGCATTTCCAATGTAGATTAATGATATATTTTCCAGTTTTATCCTCATTTTTTTAGCTTATTGATTATTCCTATCAAAGAAAACTAAGTATTAAATAAAGGTCAAATAGCAAATTTAATGAGTTTCTTAATATGTGTGAAAATCTCTAGAACGACAGGTAAAAAGAAACAGAGGGAGTATGCATTATATTGTTTATGCACTTAATCGTGAAGTTTGAATTTATATCCCCTTTAATTGATTTTAAATTATTAATTATTTAGAATTTTATTCTGAATTTTATTTTTAATTTAATTAGTTATTGTGATTTGATTAATTGCAATATTATTCCATTAAACTTGTGACTTGGTATATTCATAAGTATATTAATTTGTTTACTTTCTTGTGAACAGATTTGAATTCACTATGACTATTGACAACCAAGTTGGACTTGATGGGCAAAACATGGTTGCTCCCATTGATGGAACCATTGGAGGTGGTGCTCTTGGAAATGGAAATGGGTTAAGTGAGTCGACGCCCCAATTTGGGAGTGGTCAGCCACTTACAAACCCTTCAATGCCTGGCGCTGTAAGCGTAGGATTGATGCCAGAAAAGTTTGGTGGGAATGGGTTCAAAACTTGGCAACAAAAGATGCTTTTCTTTTTGACCAATTTGAGCCTTGACAAGTATCTGAAAGATGATGCACCCATTGTCCCACCAGGAACACTGATTCAACCATTATGGATCGGTGGACCAGTCAGACTTTCTGTGCAAGGGCTGGATTCTAAGCCGCTTGATAGACCCATTGTACAATGTGTACTGTGAGGCGAAAACCTCCAAGCAACTTTGGTTGGCCTTGGAGAAGAAGTATAAGTCCGAGGATGCTGGCTGTCAGAAATACGCTACGGCGAAATTTCTCAACTTCAAAATGGTGGATTCAAAACCCATCATGGAACAAGTTGAAGCCTTGCAATTGATTACGCATGAGATAGCGGCTGAGGGTATGTCGATTTGTGAAATTTTCACTGTCAATTCCTTCATTGAGAAGCTTCCTCCAGGGTGGATGGACTTCAAAAACTATCTCACTCACAAGCGTAAGGCAATTACCCTTGAGACTTGATTGTCAAGCTGCGGGTTGAATCCCAAAACCGCGAGGCTGATGCTGTTCTCACTCGTACCAATGATGTGAACTTGGCTGAGCAAAAGAGAAATGGGAAGGGAAAAGTTCCTCCAAAACCCTCCACAAGCTTTAAGAAGCAAGGGCAACCATACAAGTTTGCTGGAAAGTGCCACAAGTGTGGCAAGGTGGGCCACAAAGTCGATGTATGTCGTCAAAAGGCTGGTCCAAGCGAAGACAAAGGGAAGTCTCAAGCTTACCTCACGGAAGCTGACTGTGCGCTGTGGTCACAGAAGTCAACAATGTTGAGGACAACCCAAGGGAGTGGTGGTACGACACAGGTGCCACTATCCACATCTGCAATGATAGGGACATGTTTAGTACCTATCAGAAATGCAACAATGGAGAACGCCTATTGATGGGAAACACTGGTTCTTCCAAGATTGAGGGTCGTGGCAAAGTGGTGCTGAAGATGACCTCAGGAAAGGAGATCACTCTCCAAAATGTGAAAACTATACAAAATATGGTCAAAATATATTTGCATACTTACATATACGAAAATAATTGAAAACTATACAAAATATGGTCAAAATTTCCTCTCCAGTTAAACCCCGATTTAATTCCGATTTCTTAAAAATCTCTAATCCCAGCTTGACCGCCCGATTAACGATTAACGATTTTTTGAACCTAGGTTAAAACAATCTGATTTGTGGTACAACATAAACAAAAAGGAGCTACATTTAAAATCGAAGGAGAGAAAGAAGCACACATTCCCGAAATCTCCGCCGCCGATTTGACAGAGAATGAATTGAATCGGAGGAGAGGACAAAGCAAACATGTCTCCAACTCGAGTATCCGGAGCCATCAAATTTGAAAGTGACAATTCTAAAGTGATTGTGATGAATCAATAGAGTAAAGGAATGATAAAAGAAAACTTTCAGAAGAAGAAGAACGAAATTTCGTGGAAAAGGAGAAGAACGAAGTTAACCGGATTGAGTAGCTATGTGATTGTAAAAGAACGAAGTTAACCGGATTGAGTAGCTATGTGATTGTAAGTTAACCGGATTAATGCGGGTCAAACCGGGTCAATATCTGGCAAGTAAACCAATAAAATTGCTGACTGGTATTATTATTTAATATGTTTTCATTGGTTGGACATTTTTACTGAAGTGTCAGCTTCAGAATGCTTAAAAATGCTTATATGTCATCATCTCTAGAGGCACAGAGGATTTTGCTGTGTTGATTCTTTGAATATCCGTCAGTTCTGTTGCTTGCATCGTAAGTTGTATCAACAAAAAGCAATATAATAAAAAAGCAAAAACCTATCTTGAATATCTGATAAAGAGTGCATTTAGCTTCATTTGTGACTAACCGAAAAAATCCATTATGAATCAGCTAAGAAAGTTTCGTCATTTTGATAATGTTAGAAGAACATAAAACAATTCCATTTTTACCTAGGGGAAAAAGTATACGTCGAACATGGAGACCGAGCAAGGCATTTAGCTGCGGCTGGAACTAATCCTGACTTGGTTTAGGTTGTTGATGTAAGCAGGCTTCCTACGGTGGTGGTGCTTTTAGGAACCCTATCTTTTTTTTTTGTTATATTGAACTTTACGGTTTCGAAGCATTCTGGTGGATTTGCTATTATTCATGTAAATATACTCGCATCTGATTTATATGAAAATTATTTGTTTATTGTTGCTGTTGTTCAGGTAAATTGACTCGCAAACTGAGACATGGCTTAAAGAAAAGAAGATGCGTGTTCAATACACTGTTAAATTTACAAAGGTAAATTTTCTTGATCTTTCGGGAAATTGTTTTTGTTTTGAGTACACATGGAATTAAATTATTAATTTTGATTTCATATAGTTGCAGGCTGTTGTTGAGTAATGTGTTGTTGTTTTCCGTGGTTTTAATATGCTTAGATACAGTTGGTGAAAGACATGGAAGGTCACGGTCTGGTCAAATTCTTCATACATCTTAAGGAAGACGAATTCCAGTTACTTGTTCCATGACTGAAACAAACATGCAAAGTTCTTTTTTTGTCTGTCCTGTTGACTACGAAAAAATCTGAGAATTAATGCAAAACATTCGTTGTGAATGGTTTGTATGTACTTTTGTATACATTTAGCATATTATATAAATACATTTCATCTCTCTCGACTCCATTGCTTTGACCTCTCCCTTTTGATTAGATTTCCTACGCGTATATATATTTCACCAATTCAAACGAAGTTTATCGTTATATTCTCGGTCATAATAAACTAATGGCTTAACATGGATCCTTTTTAAGCCCATAACATCACGATACTTTAACAAATATGCCAGTTTTAAAATATTCGTTATTAGATTTTGAGAAACTTTGTTTGTCCCCCAACAATAACTATATAAAACATGAAAAGGTATGTTAAATAACATTATTTAAAATATAAAATATAAAATATAAAAAGGCTATATGATTACTGATTATTTTTATGTGAAGACATATATAACTGAACTCTTAAATACATACAAATACAAAATATAATGAACTTAAAGTTCAAAGATTTTGAAAATAATACATAACCTTCTATCACCTTTTATAATCTATTTTAACCAACTGAACATAGTAACATTAAGCAGATTATCTTCATCAGTGAACCATTTCGATACAGAGATGATTTAGCAAACATCGAAGACAAAAAGAAAAGAAATATAAAAATCTCATATTAAACTGAAGTGCATAACATAAAATCTTATGAGAAAATTGGCAAAATACACAGGAATGAGGGAGTCTTTGTCCCAATACATAATTTGGAGAGATTTTAAAAGATTTTTGTTCTACTACACATTTTCTAAACTTTTAATCCTAATTTACCCTTAAAATTGATTAAAGGTACTCCTTCTGTTTTATAATATAAGGAGTTTTAGGTTTTTTTACAAAGATTAAAAGTCTATTTAATTTTTCTACTTTTTACTCATCAATTTCAAAACATTTCAACCAATGGAAAAATATTATGCACAATATAAATAATCAAAAAAAACCAAAACACATTTAATATAGCACCGAAACATTGCGAAATCTACGTCTACGTCTGCGTAGAAGGCTGTGTTTCTCGTAGACAACAAATTCTAGAACATGTAGGAAACTTTGTTTTCGGCAGAACATAACTTTTACCAAATTTACAAAATCGCAGAACATAGAGTAACAGGTAGAAGTGATATTCTAATAATAGTAGAGGTATATATAGAATATAGAACCCATGTTCTAAGGTAGACAACGAATTCTAGCGCCAGTAGATGTAATAAAAACGAGTAGAACCCGTATTCCACTTTGAATTTAAGAGTTGGTAGAAGAAAACTTCAATATAAAAATATCATATTTTTGAAAACAAATTGTGAAAATATTATAAAAAGTCTGAAGATCATTATCTGATTTTTAGAAATATTTTGTGTTCCTAAAATAAACTATTTCATAATTTATTTGATATAATGGATAGATATTTGGTTAGTTATTTATGTGTATTATTATATGTAAGTTAATTCTTATTTTCAAAATACATTAATTATGCGATTGTTCAAAAGATTAAAATTTAACTAAATCTAAAGGACCTTTATAAATATTGCTAACTAAATCTAAAAGACATATAATAATACACATAAATAACTAACCAAATATCTATCTATTATATCAAATAAATTAACTATAATATTAGTAATCGAGACAATATGCTTATTATTGTTTTAAAAATATCTATATGGATTGATAAAGAAACAAAAAAGATATTAATCGAAAAATAATATAGAAAATAACATATTCATTCAATAATAATTTATTTTAAAGACTCAGTGTTAAGGGTAAAAGTTAATTTTGGGTTTTTTTTGCAAAAATTAAAATGGACTCTGAAGCAAAAAAAAAAAAATCCTCGAAAAATGATAAATGCTGCTGCGTGGCAGCTCGTTAGAAAATGGCAAAAAGCTGAGGTGGCAGAAATCTGGAGAGAGTTATCCTCTCATTATAATATAGACTAGGAGAGAACCCGCTCTACGCGCGGGTTTAAATTTTCGATAGTATTTTGTTTACTTGTTTTTGTTCTTTCACATTTTGGACATCGTCTGTGACTCTCTGTTATACAAATTAATATAGTTCATGCCAAATAAGGTTTTACAGTACATATAAGCTTAACTCTACCGATGTTAAAAAAACAAAGGTTAACTCAACCACATTTGCTTCTCCAGGTTCATTGTATATCTAATCAAAGTTTTTGAAAACCATTCTTGGCACCGGACTGTTGGAAGGAAAATAATTGTATAATTTAGGTTGTATATTCGAGATCTTGCCAACAGTGGGAAGATATTACTTGCTGCATAAACAAATTATAAACTTCAAATGGAGAGTCTTTAAAGTGTCTATTAACAAAAGAAACAAACTGAAGAAACAGAGAAAATAAAAAAATGGTTAGGCATCTTTTTATTCAAACCCATCCAACATGAGAAACAAATGCATTAGAAAACAATACCTTGAGAACAATAACAATCTTTGCTTAAGCTTCCTTTGTGAAGAGCTATAGATTTTTAAGAAAATTTCTGTCTATCTTTAAAATAAAGAATGGTGTCCAATGGTGTCCGATTCAATCTGGATTTGAAGAAAAAAGTGAGAAGTTCATTACCCTTGTTGATAAGAAATAATATCTCTAAGTCGAAATGCATAAGATGTAACAATTAAGTAACGAAAGTACAATCTTAATAAGAGGTTTTGATAGAGTTTTATTTATTGAGTCAAACATGTGGTTATTGAGCCCTTTAAAAGTTTGCTTAGTTTGCATGCATTGCATTGCTCCACCAAATCCAATTATAAGTTTCAACTCAAAATTTAAGATACGATGACAATACAAACACACAACGTCATTATGATAACATCGTTATGTTTATGAGATTAACAACGCGTATGTGTCTCAAATGAAGCTAAACGAATAAACAATTCGCACTCCAAAAATAGCTTTTGACTTGTACTGCATTTCTTCTTTAACCGTGTACTAAACCTGTATACACACCAAAACATGAGATATTGTATGTATAGCTCAATACATAGAGGATCCCAAAGTATACCGGTGCCTTTATGTTTCATTTTGGAAACAGCACATAGTGGAAATATCCTTTTAAGGCCATCTAACATTTCAAGAGGTTCTAGTCGGAAAACATGATTAATACATTTGTATTTGCTTAACGATGAATAAGAAATCACTCTATTTTTCAAGAATCAAAATGCAAGGAAATGACAATAAATTTAGATTTCTAGTAAACAACTCAAGTAAGTTTCATTGTATAAAATCTTTATGATTTGTTTCGACTTTGTATGAAACTCGAAAATCAAGCAAATTTACCAAATCCTCATCAATATATTTTGGAATCAAATTATTATAAAATATGCCCTATGAAAAAAATAAAAATAAAGCATTATTAAAGAACAAACCTTTAGATGCAGTTAGTCTTGAGTCCTTCCTTTACATGGATAAGAAACCTATCTTAAGAATCAAATAACAAAATGAAATTTGGTTGTGCTAAATAGAAAGCGTACCGTGTTGTTGTTGTTACGCTTTTGGTGGCTTCTTAGTGCTTCTCAAGATTGTTTTTGGTGAATTTCTATCCTCGAGCTCTTTCGTAAGTGGGTTTTGTTATGCCTCATCAATTAGATTCAATATATTAAGCTTTCTATGATTCACCTAACGTTCTGTCCAAATAAAAGAGAAAACACAATTTGTCTTCAAGTGAACCAGTCAGATATTGCCAATACAATAAGAATAGCATATAAACCTGTGTTAAATCCTTGAGCCCTGTTCGCATCATCATGAGACTCTCTCCTCTCCACAGTCGATCTGAAACCAACATCGAAGGTGTATTTTTGAAAATTTCCACACTATAGGTGTAGTTTTGAAAATTTGCACCTTAAGAGGTGTATTTCATAAAATTTCTCCAACATATCATCGTGCAGTTAACCAAAAATCATAATCCCACAAGTTCACAACACAAGCTTTCCAAAGTTGGGAGTAGAAGATTAATCAAACATATAGATCAAATCATCATTATCGAAGTGATGAGCTGAAATAGCAGATAAGAGTAGAAGCTTAATCGAACAGAGAGATCAAATCGTCATTAGCGAAGTGCTCAATTGAAATAGCAGAGAACATATAAATCTACACACAAAAACCCAAAAACAAAACAAATTGTCATTATCGAGGTTTGCTCCATGCCACAGTTCCGCTCGTTTTTTATGAACCAGTAGATGTCGGAGGGAGTTAATTCTACAGATTGGTGAAGAGAATGGTTGAGTGAAAGATTTAGGGGTTCGTGCCTTCTGATCAAGTAGAGCGTGACCCCATACACGCAGGAGGCGAGCTATGAGAGTTTCCGTGCTCAGACCTAACATCAGGTCTTCGAAATTGACGACCGTGAACCATGTTAAGGGTAGGCGAAGAGTCTTGGGGAAGAGAGAGTTTGGAATTCGAACCTTATGATGAAGCAGAAGCTTTGGGGGTGGGGTTGGTAAGCGATCTGGAGAGGTAAGAAACCGGGATTGTGTGTTGGTGGAAGAATCGCAGTGGAAAACCGAAAATGAAATGAGGAAGACGAAGGGTGCTCGCCTTTGTTAAATTAATTTTCAATATAACTTTTTTTTTTTAAATGGCAGGCAGAAACGACGTCGTTTTGACTGACACTCAGAGGGTATAAAAACGACGTCGTTTTGGTGTTAGACGAAAATTAAAAAAAAAAGTGAAAACGCTAAACGACGTCGTTTTGGCGTGGGAGGAAAAAAAAAAGTGCCATATGTCGAAGGCTGGAGAGTGTCCCAAGCCTTATCAGTTATGTAGATTTATAGAAACAATTGGTTTTCAATTTCCTAAATACACGAAAAAACTGGATTTTGATAAATATGTTCTTATATTACTGATAAATATGTTCCTCCTTTTCTTGTATTTACCAATTAAACCGTTTGTAATCGAAAGTTGTAGTGTTTCATCTAACCATACTGAATTGTAAATATTTTCTTATTTAGTTTAAAGTTCTTAAAAAAAAAATATTACAACTTTCAACCAAATTGTCTGCCCATTTTTTTTCTCTAATTTTAAAGTAATGAAGCAAAGTAGTTAAGCAATACCACTACAAAGTGAAGCCAATAAATTAAGAAAGGGTGTCTTCAAGCCAATCTTGAAACTTAGTCATCTCCTTAGAAGGCAAAGCAGCCAATACATTAACACCTTTACTATCTCCATCAATGTCAGGAAACAGCAGAACTATGTCTTTCCGATGATACACAATGGGACAGCAATACTTAGGCTTCCCCCATGGATACTCAACCTCTGGAAATCCAAGTTTCCACCACGAAGAAACTAAAACTTCACCATGCGGAAACCCTTTGTATATCTCTCCCCAGTCTATAACAGATCTTGCATACTCATCCGTTATCCTCTTCGACCCTTCTCCTACCATTTCCACAATTCTCCCAAACGTCTCTTCAAGCAATGCCTTTCGTTTTGCCTTTGCATATGCGGTTAAAACCGCATTTCCTGTGTACTCAGAGGGAAGCTGAGGATTCAGCCTCCCTCTAATGTCCACCGCGTAAAGAATCGTTGATTCTTTTTCAAGATCTTCTTCTTCTACTTTTGTGAAAGAGAGTGCCTTGCACCTCCAAACCAAAGCGGTTACAACATTGAAACCCGTCACACGAACAGAACAACTGCTACTACTCCTCACGGCCTTCTCTTTGAGGCTCTGGATTTGTTGAGAGGATATCTTGAAGATGTTGAAGTCTAAGTGTTCTGAAGTGGCTTCGAAGACTGTTGACGTCTTGGAGTCTTGGAGCTGGACAAGCTCGTGGTGTGGGAATGTTACACGTGGTGGAGTACGAGCTTTGAGAAGAGTACGGTCGTTGCAAGGAGGTGTTGATAAGGGCTTCTCACTTAGTAGAGAGGCTAAGTTTTCAAGAAATATTTTGAAACTAAGTCCATCGAACGTTGTGTGGTTTGTTGAGAGTCCCATTGCAAATCCACCGCACTTGAATGACGTCATCTGCCAAAAAACATAAACTTTTATAATTACATCCATCTGCATGTCAAAAACTAAATCAGACTAAACATAAAAAAAATTATTTTGAATACTGTAAACACTTAGTTTTTTTTTAGTTGTTATATGATAGGGGTTTATTCTGTTTCCATGATTTAAAGATAAAAGATTATGTACATTTTCAAGAAGAAAAAATAAATTTTATTTCTATTTGAACTTACAAGATTGACAAAATTGTAAACAACATAAAGTAACTAGTCATGGAATGAAAAATCATATATGTGAAGAGATTTTCTATTTCTTATTTTACTTTAAATTGAACTATATTTATTTTTAATAAAACCTATACCAATGATCAGAATAACAACGGGTTTGCTTTCAGTCTTAGTATATATATCGATAGAATATTAGGTCTGAACTGAAGTAGGGTACCAGAGAACATGAAAAATGTTCTTAGAGATTAGCTTTTTAGTTATTCACAAATTAGGGACTAAACTCTGGTAGGATTTAGGTAAGTTATGGACTTGTAGTAAATTAGTAGCTAAGTTTTGAGGCATGGGTGCAAATCTCGCATAGATCATCGGAATATGATTATAGCAGACAACATCAATGCACATAATTATCTATCTAGTATATGTACTTCACTACTTGACACATGTAAAAGATGTAGACAATGACTAGTTTCTACATAATACGTTCATTAACCTTCGAGTAACGATGGAATATAACACTTTTCTTCAGACATGAATCAATCAATCAAATGATTACATTATTTGGCAGTATATCAAACAGAGTTATGTAACATTAAGTTTGGTAGGATTCAATAAATGAGCAACCAAGAAAATCAGCAAAAGTCAGCATTTTAACTTCACGCGGCACAAGTCGATTTCTGTTACAATCAGTCAATCATACTAGACTAATGCCCGCGCATACGCGCGAGTTTTGTTGTTGTTAAAGTTTTTTAAAAATGCTTGAAAACAGTTTTCGATTTGAGATTATTAATATTATAAAGTATAATCCAATAACATCCATATTTAATTTCTATTTGTTGGTCAAGGAATGACTTTCAAACATATATTTTTGTATCATACCACATATCTATGAACCATTAACTATATTTGTTTACTCACTACCACATAGAACGGACTCTACTAAAAGAGTGATTTTTGCTATCGATTTTTGTTAAATCCATTTCTCCATATATTGGGAGAATTTAGATGTTTAATAATAACTCAAAATGGAAGTTGAAATTTAAAAGTCTTGGATTAATAAAGTGATTATTATTATCATAATTTGAAATGTATAAGATTTAGAGTTATTGACTGGAAAGAAGAGGAAAAGTCATGCCAGAATATCAATTAATGGAGTGTTGAAACAACATGGAAGGTGAAGTAACTAACGGTTTTGAAACCTATTATAACTGTAATGACTAAGAATGTGAAGAGACTGCTCTCTTTAAAAGTTGCCACATGTTAATCATATGGAGTGAGTTGGCTTCAATTTATATATATGATTCATATCTCTAATATATTAAAAGAAAAAACACTATGAAAATAACCTTTGCCTCATATGGTATTAACAAGAATGCCATGCTGATGTGTCATCACTAGGTTCACTCTCAAGACAACTTTTAATTAAGACAAAATTTACTAGACTATTTACATTATATGCCATTGTATAATTTGGTTAGAGAATAGTTTATATCAATCATTTATACATATTTCTGCATTTAATCATAAAGATATTACTCTTTCCATATCTTATCAAATTAATTATTTTCTTAAATAATACATTTTCCTCTCATTTCTTGGTTGGATTAAATTTTATAAAAATAAATAAAATATCACATTGACCATATATTAAAAAAATGTACATTTTTTTCTACACAAGTTATAGTTTGAAATTTAAAAAACAGATATCAATTACTAAAATGATGAAAATAATAAGTATATCATAAAAGTCCCACATTGGAAATGAAGATATGTGATAGTTCATAAAATTATTATAAAGAGAACAAAAATGATAAGAAACTATAATACATGGAAGTTTAGTTTAATAAGCATCCAAATTTATTGTATATTTGGTTTCATATGGTTTTTTTAATAAAACTATATACCTACACCAAATAAAATTTATATTATTATAAATATTTTACTGTGAAAAAAGTTGAAAATATTTCTATCAAAATATTAAAATATGTGAAATAGTTTAACTTGGTTAAAAAGTTAAAATATTTAAAATATTTTTTTTATCACAAATTTGAATATTATAAAATTTCAACTTATCTTATTAAATACATGAAACATATATATTTTTAAACAATAATGTTTTATTCTTTCAGTTTTTTTGTTTTTCAAACTATCTTATTATATTGTAGTCATTTTAGTTTTATTTTTTCGCTTTAGTCTATCATATTTAATCTGCAGTAAAAAAATTAATTACCTTACTTAAAATGGTTTAATATGCTTAATTTATATACTATAAACGGATAGAAAAACTAAAAAAATCCGTCACAAAAAAAAAATTCGAGATAATTAAATATACTTTTGTAAAAAAAATACAAATTTTTTTAAAATTAAATACATATGATGTTAACAAAAATGTAATATTAAAAATATAGAAATTTAGAAACATCATCCCGTGTAAGGTGCGGGTCAAACTCTAGTAGCAATAATAAAAACGTTCATAAATACGTACAACTAAATAAATTGAAATAGGTTAACTTGAAAAAATCTATACTACTATTTATTAGTGCTTCCTTCTTAGTTTGACAATTTTTATCAAAGTTAATGTGTAAAACCTTTCAGTGATACTTGAAGACGTATATAAAATTTTCTATAGATGACAAATAAAATTAAGAAGTATGTGTGTGTCAGTATTGTACACTAGAAGTTTTTTTTTTTTTTTTTTTTTTTCTTTTTTTCACTTATTTGGCATATTATATGTCTGCAGGCAAAACTGGTGCATGTGACCATGTCCTACTATATAATTATAGATTCACATGTTACGTTCTAACTTACGTTGTGTTTACATTTTTCGTTATACTTTTTTTTTTTTTGGTAAAGTACATTTTTCGTTATACTTTGACATACATGATGGATATATATATTAGAAGATAAAAAAAGATTGAGTACGGCGATGTCATTTCCGTCTTAGACACACACTGCACGTAATTAGTCTTTTGATCTTTGTTTGAGTCCTTAATTAGACCCAATTTTTTCTTTTAATTTGTGGTTTATTAAAGATAATTAGAAACCAATACTTCATGATTATGTATTCATAACTAATAGTTTAGCTGATTAAATTTAGAATCCGAAACTTTGATACAATTGTTTTAAAACTTTTATTGAGACTAATTAAACATAAACCTACCCTATTCGTTTGTTAAGAAACACATGTTCGTTTGATGACCGGAAAGACGACCAACCCTACACTGATCTCGACCTAGAATCCCTGCAATAGGCTCTCATTTTCTTTTTCTTTTTTTACCAGTTTAGGTGACTACGGCGGCAAACCATAATCGGACTCGAATCCTTACCTTTACCAACGTACAGTGCTCAACCAATTTATCATTATCAGTTCGTATATACAACATCATAAAAGTACCTGATCCTAACGGCCCCTATAACCATGAAAGTACCTGATCTTAAAGACCCTATCCATTAAGTTTGCAAAATAACTGAAAATCGCGATCCTATATTTTTAGATTCCAAAAAAGTTTACTTGTGTTTCTAATATATTACCTACACTAAAAAAAATTAACCTGGAAAAGTATAGGTTTAGGATAAATGAAAATAGGAATAGTAAGCAATGGTTGGTTACCTGAAAAGCAAACAAGGGTTGATCATCTTTGGGCAAGCTTTCAAGCTGACTAGTAACCAGTTGAGCAAAAGCTGGATTTGGATAAACCAAATCTCCAAGTTCCTCCAACGTGTACTCACTCGCCGCCGTCACAAATCCAGCTCCGGCACCGTTACAATCAACATCAAGCCGTCCAGAGCTAGGGTTTAGGCGGAGTCTCCCGGCCAAGAACTCATAAACGACCATGGCTTTCACCAACGCCTTTCTCAGCTTCTCTAACACAATCTCCGGAGGAAAATCCTTGTTTGATCGGAAGAAATGAACCGTTTGGACATCAAAGTTGAGAACTTGGTCGACATTGGACAAGAACATGGATTTTCTCTTATTGGTTATGGTTTCTTCGGATGGGAAAATGAGTGTTGATTCTTTGATCGTAACTTTCAGATCTTGCAGAAGCAATGATGGAGATTCTTGGTAGGAAACACCCATTTTGCAAGATCTCTATCTAGTTTAATTAGGTTCTGAGTGCAGTTTGTGATTTGGTTTGAAGCTTAATCTACATTATATAGACTAACACAAGGTGATGAGAGATAGTTACTTTCGTGTAAATTATAGTATGAAATTGTCCATGGAGAGTAATATGGATCCCACAATAAATGTGATATTATAATTTTTAATGCGAAAGATTTGACATGGAGTTACTAGAATGAACTACGTACGACATCCTTTATCAAGTCACATGAAAATGTAGTACTTTAAAACGTAAAATGTCATTTTTGTGTTTTTTGTTGTTGTGTTTATAGATTTTTGGAATAGTGATGGGCTTGCTTTGGTGGGTGTGAGGTAGGGTTGGCAATTTATTTAAGGATTTGATATGATAAGTCTGATATGTCGATCGATCTTATCATCTTATGTGATCTGTTTCTTTCCTGTGTTGATATATGCCTAATTTTGAAGCCATGAATGTTTGACTAGTTTTTAGTATTTAGTTTTTGGCTTTTGGTTTTAAGATTTTTAGTTTTTCAATATTTCGTTTTTGATTTTACTGTAGAGTTTAGATTTACAAAAAAAACTTGAATAGGCTTTGGTTTTTGGTCTTTTTTTATATTTCTTTTCAAAAACTTGAATTGGGCTTATTTCACTTCTTGTAGGGGTTAAATACAAAAGTAGTCTCCATTGTAAAATATGTTTTTTTCCTTCCTCCTCTATCCTCATCATAATCAAATAATAACGGAAATGCCATTACTTTTCCACGCGAAGTCTAACTGTGAAGTCTAATTAAAAAAAAAATTGTCAAAAGTTCTTTCAAACCGGGGCAAAGGGAGGTCCTTGCTGCTTCTTCATTTATTCACGAAAATGCCATCACCATCAATTCATCCAACAACCATTCTCAACCGAACTGAAGCTTTGAATGCAAGATTTATTCTTCAAACATAACTACAACCTCATTCTATCATCTCATAAACTTAGTTTTTCATCTTTCCAAAAAGAAGGTTCTTAGATCTTGCCATTTTCGGTGTCTGAGCTCATTCCAACGGTTGGGGAAGTTCGTCGAAGGTCTAAAGCGAATTTGTGGGCCGTCGACATAACTTAAGATCACGGCAAGGTAAAATTCCGGTATATCTGAGTGAATTTTATGTATTTCCCGCGAGTTAGACTTCATTGTGAAGTCTACCGGTCAACTAACAAACTAGTTTTGCAATTGACTTTTAAAATTTTTGGAGAGTAGACTTCACAACGAAGTCTACTCCAAATTCGTTTGATAACAAAAATATACGAGTTAGACTTCGTAAGACTTCATAATGAAGTCTTACTCAAAATAGATTAGTTTTGTATTTGGTCGCGTAAAATCTTTTTAAAGGAAGTCTAACCCTGAAGTTTGCTAAAAAAAAGACTAGTTTTGCAATTTACCACGCAAGACTTTTGTGTTAAGTCTATTAATGAAGTTTATTTACGGTGTATTAGACCACAGAATGAAGTTTACTCGCGAGTAGACTTCATCGAGAAGTCTAATATATGATAGACTTCTGATTGAAGTCTAATAGTCAACGTTTTTTGAAATAGACTTCCTTTGAAGTCTACTTACCGAAGTTTAAAATTTGGACGATTGCAAAACTAACCCATATGAAGTCTAACTTACTCCGCAGACTTTACCGGTAGACTTTATTATGAAGTTAGACTTCACATTGAAGTCTAAGTACATTGATGAAGTCTATTCGGAGAAGTCAACGTTAGGTCAATTGCATAACTAATCATTTTTGAAAACGTAGACTTCACGGCTAGACTTACCCAAAAAGAATTTGTTTCGTTAATTGCAGAACTAGTCTATTAGACTTCACTAAGAAGTCTAATAGTTAGACTTCATCGTGAAGTCTAATATTTAACGTTTTTTTTTTAAAACAAATTTTTAGAAAATGTATATCGAAATTTATAATTTTGTTTAAACAGTTAGTTGTATTAGTCTATTTAGTTGCTTTTGTGTGGGTTTTATATGCTTATTTGTTATATACTATGCTGAAACGGTTTTCTTATTTAATTAGCAATTTAGACATTAGTAAATAGACTTCATGACGAAGTCTATCGTGGAAGTCTACGGACAAAGTCTGTTTTTTCTTTGCATTTCTAATGTTGTTTTGCGGTTGTTAACTTGCAGAAAATGGTCAACATCGCTTCTGTTTATGGAGAATGGGTGAGAAAGGACAATATGTCGTGGCATTTTGAGGTTGACTATCGCAAAGGAGGGAGAATGTTCTGTTTGAGGGATGAATGTACACATGATGAGCTTGTTCAAATTGCCTTAGATGATTATTCGGTGAACAAGCACGGACTGGAGTTATCATATTCATTACCAGAACCATTCGTGCAGAAAATGCCTATTGATTCTCTGCCTGTGTATGTCACAAACGACAGACAAGTCCACAGCTTGATCGAGCTAAGTCGAACACATGTTGTACGACTTTGTGTCTCTAGTCAAGGGAACGCTGATGTGGAAGATAATGTTTATGGACGTAAGAGTGAAAACCAGGATGATGAGTTCTCTGATGATCGTGTTGAAGACTGGGCCGCGGACTCAGATGAAGTGTCGGAAGGAGGACAAGATGCGGCTTGTGATGAGGGTGATGTCAAGAAAGATGCTCATGAAATCGATGATGATACCCACGCGGACTACAGTCAGTATGGGAAAGTGGAAGACGAAGACGAGCGTGAGACAAAGATTCCTTTCGATGATCCCCGTCTTAGAGGGCGTGGTCAACACAAACGAATGGATAATTGGGAAGACTATATATACGAGCACCAGAGTTTTGATAGCAAGGAAGAACTAATATCAGAGTTGCGTCGAGCTGGACTCGAACCAGCGCGTCTGGCAAGAGGTCGGCATGAAGTGATTCATCATGCTCAAACACGAGCCGAATGCAAGCAAGCGGAAGGGGAATCAAGGGTACGGGGGCCGGTGTCTACGAGTCCTTGAGAGTCCCGTGGAACGGTCTTCTATCCATCCGGGCATCTCGAGGAGGAGCAACAAGGCTCTAACCAGCTAAGCATCATCGGCTTGGTCTCGGGTGGGCGCCGGCCGGTCTTTCGGCCAGATCCCCCTAAAAACTTTGACGGCGGTGATGACAAGATTTACATTCAAAGTAGCTACATCTACAACAAAACTGTTTGTGGCCAAATGCAAAGTGGCTGGATGTTCATGGATGGTTAGAGCGGCTGTCAAGAACGAAGCCACCACGTTTTGGGTGACAAAGTACTCGAAGTGGCATACATGTTCTGTGAAGCGAACCCTGGAAGTGTTACTGATCTTGTGCGTGACCCAGACGACCGTTTCAAGTACTGTTTCTTATCATTTGGAGCTTCAATATCTGGTTTTCAGTACTTGAGAAGAGTCATTGTGGTGGATGGGACTCATTTAACAGGGACGTATGGGGGAGTTCTACTTGTCTCCGCCGGACATGACGGGAACTTTCAAATATTCCCCTTAGCTTTTGCAATTGTCGACGCTGAGGACAGCGAATCATGGGAATGGTTTTTTAACAAGCTCCGAGACTGCTTGATGATAGGATTTGTGTGTGGATGTGAAAAGATATGAAATGAGATGAGTGGAATGCAACAGTGGTATATGATGAGGTGGTAAGATGCAAACACAAACACAGTCAACAATTCCCTTTAACCATGATAGTTGATGTAGTACAAAGGGTTATCAATCCAAAATGGGAAACTTGTCACTCTATGAGAATATGAAACAACCAGGAAGTCAAGCAAGCAGTTAAAGATTTGAAGTAACACTAACAACCTAAATAAAATGAAAAGCAGTGCAATAAAAGTAAACAAAGCAGTGAAGTGTCAGCTCGACCAAGACTCGAGTCGAGTCAGAGCAAAGTACCAGCTCGATCGAGTTTAGGGACGAGTTGAGACAAACAAAGCTAAAGGTGACGACTTTAACAAGATAAAGAGAGAATTAGGGTTCAAGACAGGGTTTTGCAATCAAAGGAATCTACACTTAATCAATCTAGCTCTTAAAACTCCTTGTATCAAGGCTTCTCTTGATATTGGGCTTCTCAATGCCTAGCCAACCCTTTCCCAAGGTGGAGGCTATCAACCAAGGAATGATCTCAGAAACAGGGGGTTAGCCAGTGAGAATCAAACCTTGGAGGCTATAGGATCATTGCCCAAACTAATCCATCCAACCCCTTAGACCTCTATTGTCTAGAGCAAGAGATATTGGAGCTCTTAGTGGATCTTTTCCAGCGAATGCCATCACTTTCGTGTGGGGAGTCGCCTAAGGACTTACAAGCCAGGGGTAGTGGTCATGTAGCCTTAAGATCTATCCAAAAGAGAGAGAATCTAGATTAAGACCATAAGCTAGAAGGATTAAGCATATGAAACCTCTAATCTATCCCATCTCAAACCCTAATGGGTAACTACTCACTACACATGAATGTAAACACAAGCAAATGCAATAAAAGAGACATCATAAGAAAGAGGAGATGAAATTAAACAACTTTTATTGAAATAAGCAAGTGCAAATACAAAGAGATTATCCAGGATCTAGGATTCAAGAAGCAAGAGCTTCAAGAACACAAAGATGGGATTAGATCTCTAAAAAGTAAAAGACAATAAATTAAAAGAAACTAAAACAAAATAATCTAAAGCTTGGTGGTTTTTTCGTGGCTTAGAGCCTTTAAATACAAGAGGATTAGGTTTAGGGTCAAAGGAAAGTCAAGGGGGAAGCAACATTTTTCGGGTTTGACTGTTGACTTCTCAGCTCGATCGAGTTGAAGCTTGGCCGGTCGAGTTGAGGAACTCGACCGGTTGGTCGAGTAGACGGTCGAGCTGGTCTTCAAGATGGCTTCTCCCTTCTTCCTTTGCGTATCCAGTTGAGCTGCGTCCATGTGCCAAGTCCCTCCATGCTCCTCATGTCCCATATGCTCCAGAATGCTCCAAAAGACCTATTTCAAAGGACCAAACATGCATATGTATGCAAATGCAACCTAAAACTAACATGAATGCATAAGAAGAGAAAAGGAACAAGATATGATGCAAATGGAGCTAAAACTATGCAAAAGATGCATAAAAGATGTGCTAAAACTATGTAAAATGCAAGTACATCAACACCCCCAAACTTGAACTTTGCTTGCCCTCAAGCAAACAAATAGAACAAGAAAGAGATGAGGTTTGAAAACAAGCTGATTCAACACTTAAAAACATGTCCTCAAAAGCGATTTGCTAAATGTCCAACTTAGAGATTCTAGAATGCAACAAGGTGAGAGATATTCATTAAGATTTAACCATGCTTATCAACATCAATCCCACTTCACAGTCACTCAAACAATGCATTCAAATCAGCAAATCCCTTTAACATTCATTAAGCAAAAACAGTGAACCAAAAACATGCAAGATCAATCAACTCATTTGGTTTCAAGGGTTTATGGGTTAAGAGACAAAGAGGGTCTCTTTTGTATGGTGGTTTAGTAACAGGGATCTCTCAAGAAAGTGGCTTTGCTTTGGCAGAAGGCTAAGTGTTAGAACCAAAGATGATGCAAGAACAGCAGCTCGAGCCGCCTAATCCTAACTCGATCGAGTTCAACACTTAGAGCTTTTTAGAACAAAATCCTAACTACCCTTTTTGGCATTTCGCCTTTGAAACTGAGGAGCTTTGCTCACTTTTCTTTTAAGAACTTCCTAGGGAGAGGCTTCTTGAGGTAACATCTAGCGGTTTGGGATTTTCTAAACACTTAGGGAACTTTTCTTTCCTTTTTGACACTTGAGGCTTTGCCTTCTTTTCATTCTACTTAGAACCCTTTTTACTTTCCTTTTTTAACTTCCCAAACCTTTACTAGACCCTTTTTAACACTGCCAACTCCCTGGACTTAACAAACTCTTTTTCCTTTGGGTTTTTCCCAACTTTTACCACTTTTCTGGTTTTTACACCCAACTCGATCGAGCTCGAGTTGGCACCCCCAAACTTAGCCTGAAAACAATCCCAAGAGAACTAGACAACTAGAACTACTGCCCCTGCCGGTTTAAACACAACACCTTATGCTAAGCAAAGCCAAGAAAGGTTCTCACAATTCGCACAAGAGATAATATGGGGTTTGAAATGAAAAAGGCTTAGGTTTAAGGTGTGGTAACTGTCTCAAAGATGGAGATCAGCTATCTGGACAAGCAAAGGGATATGAAAATAGGTAAAGAATGTCCAGATATGTATGTGGTAGCCATGAGTTGAAATCAAATGCAAGCATTGGTAATTAAAGATCAAGTTATGGTTCAAATAGATAGGGAAATGCATCAAATCACAGCAATGGTTGAATGAGATGTGCATGCAGTGATATGATCAAGATAAACATGGTTCTTGCTGCTCAATCAATCTCACCCTAATGCACAAAAGAATCTAAAAACAGGGCACTCAAGAAATCGCAAAAGATGACAAGTTTTCAAAGTCAAATCAACAATGCAAGTGAAAATGCAATCCTAAACAATCTAACAAATATGAATGCAAAAAGATGAAAATATTTTTGGATTTTTTGAAAATTTTATGATTTTTTTGGTTTTTCTATGCAAAAGATGAATGAAAAACTAAGAACAAAGAAAACAAGGTTAAATCATCTCTTGAACCCTCCCCCAAACTTAAATCACACAGTCCCTTGTGTGAGAAAAATTCAGTGAAAGATTCAAGAGGAAAAACAAGAAAAATGCAAGAAAATGATGAAATGGTATGTACAAGGGGTGTTTGGATACCTCAGTGCCCCCAAAGAACTGGGAGCAAGGTCATGAGTTGGAGAGGGCAGGAGACAATAGCATCATAATGGCATCAATCGCCAAAATAGGTTGGTGGGATTGGCTCGATCGAGTTGTGCTCGAGTCAGAATAGCTTCCCTTTTGAACTAACTCCTGCAAGCCTTAGACAGAAACAACTACAAAGAACTTAAATGAAAGCATTATATACAAGATAGACATGGGAATTCCTCCCAAGTGAGCTTGTTTTAGGTCTCATAGCTTGACCTTTTACCTTTTAGGCATGAATGAGAGCGGTCCCGCCATCAAATGTGACAGTAAGGACTGAAGATAGGAGCTCCTTGAGCTTGGTTTGATCTTTTTGCAGCTCAGGACTGACCAAGGCATTGATACTGGAAAACGGTTTAGACTTTCTCTTGCACTTGATCTTGTACTCAATCTTCCCATTTGTGAACTTGGATGGCAACAGAGTCAGGGTAAGCTGGGATGGAGCGCTTGAGAGAGTCTGAGGCGTGATCATCTTTCTTTTATGTCCAGGAGACGCCTTCAAAGCCATACCCTCCCCATCTTTTTGAGCACTTCCTAGCTGCTCACTAAACAAAACTGCAAGACCCATCTCATCCAGAACACAAGGTTCACAAATAACTGGCTCTGTGCTGCTCTCAGTCATTATCTCCATCTTTTCAACCTCAGCAAACTCATCACCCTTGATGCTCAGTGACTTAGTGGCAATGGTTCCACAATATTTAGAGCTTGATGCCTTGAGAGGGTAAGAGACTTTGCTGTTGACATTGTGCATGATCACTTTCTTTGTATGGAAATCAATGGAGGCACCAACAGTGGTGAGGAAAGGTGTCCCTAAGATCAATGGCACATCCTTCTCGTCAACCATATCCAGAACTGTTAGATCAATTGGGATTGTGCACTCTCCAATTCTCAAAGGGAAATCCATGACAATACCAAGTGGGGCTTTAGAAGAAGCATCCCCAAACATGATAGAAGACTTAGGTCGCTGGATCAGACTCTGTATACCCAATTTCTGTATTAGAACAAGAGAGATCAGATTGATACTTGCTCCAGAATCAACAAGTGCATCCTCAAGTTGTAGGTGACCAAGTGTACAAGGCAGAGTGAAGCTTCCCTGACCATTCAGCTTGGGTAGTGAGGTTGGTGTGGATAAGAGATCACCCTGGGAAGAAGAGGGCTCCAAAAGCTGAGCTACTTCGTCCTTGTTATCAAGTATGTCCTTAATCATCTTCTTTTGGATATGAGCAGCTTGAAAATTTCCCATATTTGGTAGCTCAACCCCAATCTTACTCATGTCATTCCTAAAGTTGGTGATGACATTTTCTGATTCTTGGTAAGGATTCTACTTGGAAATGGAACAGGGGGCTTGTAGGTGTCATCATCAGATGGTGTTGGAGCATAAAGCATCTGACTCGATCGAGCTGGTGAGACGGTCTGGCTCGATCGAGCTGCCAATCGAGCTTGTTGTGCGAGCTCAACCGGTGAAGCGTGGATAGCTATCTGAGGAGCTTGCACTTCAGGTTGAGCGTATTGGACTCCAGGAGCATCAGCAACAACATTGTCTTCATTATTAAGCAGCATACAGATCTCCTCAATATCCTTCTCATTAGCAGCTTGTTGATCAAATCCTTCCTCTTGAGTGAAGATCGCTCTACAATGCTCCTTTGGATTCTGAACAACCTTTCCAGGAAATTGACCTTGCTTAGCAGCAGAAGAAGAAGCATGGTGTTCCAAAGAGTGAACTCTAGTGTTCAAGGATTCAATCTTAGAGTTCATCTCAGCCAACTTCTTGCTTGTCTCCATAGCACCATCTGCTTGACCTTTTAAGAGCTGCTTCAACATGGCTTTTATTTCTTGTTCCTGAGTTGGTGAAGCCTGAGGCGCTTGAGGTGCATACCCAGTTGGTACACTCTGCAGTTGTCCTTGATAATTTCCCTGATGGCCCTGGAAATTCCCTTTCTGGCCATATCCTTTCTGTGGAGGCTGACTCACTGATGTACTTGCATTTTACATAGTTTTAGCACATCTTTTATGCATCTTTTGCATAGTTTTAGCTTTCATTTGCATCATATCTTGTTCCTTTTCTCTTCTTATGCATTCATGTTAGTTTTAGGTTGCATTTGCATACATATGCATGTTTGGTCCTTTGAAATAGGTCTTTTGGAGCATTCTGGAGCATATGGGACACAAGGAGCATGGAGGGACTTGGCACATGGAAGCAGCTCAACTGGATACGCAAAGGAAGAAGGGAGAAGCCATCTTGAAGACCAGCTCGACCGTCCACTCGACCAACCGGTCGAGTTCCTCAACTCGACCGGCCAAGCTTCAACTCGATCGAGCTGGGGAGTCAAAGTCAAACCCGAAAAATGTTGCTTCCCCCTTGACTTCCCTTTGACCCTAAACCTAATCCTCTTTGTATTTAAAGGCTCTTAGCCACGAAAAAACCACCAAGCTTTAGATTACTTTTGTTTTAGCTTCTTTTAATTTATTGTACTTTTACTTTTTAGAGATCTAATCCCATCTTTGTGTTCTTGAAGCTCTTGCTTCTTGAATCTTAGATCCTGGATAATCTCTCTTGTATTTGCACTTGCTTATTTCAATAAAAGTTGTTTAATTTCATCTCCTCTTTCTTATGATGTCTCTTTTATTGCATTTGCTTGTGTTTACATTCATGTGTAGTGAGTAGTTACCCATTGGGGTTTGAGATGGGATAGATTAGAGGTTTCATATGCTTAATCCTTCTAGCTTATGGTCTTAATCTAGATTCTCTCTCTTTTGGATAGATCTTAAGGCTACATGACCACTACCCCTGGCTTGTAAGTCCTTAGGCGACTCCCCACACGAAAGTGATGGCATTCGCTGGAAAAGATCCACTAAGAGCTCCAATATCTCTTGCTCTAGACAATAGAGGTCTAAGGGGTTGGATGGATTAGTTTGGGCAATGATCCTATAGCCTCCAAGGTTTGATTCTCACTGGCTAACCCCCTGTTTCTGAGATCATTCCTTGGTTGATAGCCTCCACCTTGGGAAAGGGTTGGCTAGGCATTGAGAAGCCCAATATCAAGAGAAGCCTTGATACAAGGAGTTTTAAGAGCTAGATTGATTAAGTGTAGATTCCTTTGATTGCAAAACCCTGTCTTGAACCCTAATTCTCTCTTTATCTTGTTAAAGTCGTCACCTTTAGCTTTGTTTGTCTCAACTCGTCCCTAAACTCGATCGAGCTGGTACTTTGCTCTACTCGACTCGAGCTCTTGGTCGAGCTGACACTTCACTGCTTTGTTTACTTTTATTGCACTGCTTTTCATTATTTTTAGGTTGTTAGTGTTACTTCAAATCTATAACTGCTTGCTTGACTTTCAGGTTGTTTCATATTCTCAAAGAGTAACAAGTTTCCCATTTTGGATTGATAACCTCTTATACTTCAATGACTATGATGGTTAAGAGGAATTGATTGATTGTGATTGCACCATACCATATCATCTTTATTCACCCCTGTTTGCATTCCACCTCATTTCATATCACTTCACACACACAAAACCTTATCATCAATTTGGTGAACCAATTGGTTGATGAAGATGACCAAGAAGGGAACCAAGATGAGCCAATGGAAGAGGCTGAGGAAGAGCAAGAGGAGGATGAGCTCCCCATGTACCAAGAGCACTACAATGCTCTCTTCTCCATGGACTTTGTGGAGACCAAGTACCCACATGATGACACCATGAGAGATCTTGGATCTTTGAGGATGTGGAGTTGGTGCTCAAGAACATGCAATTGGGGAAGTTCTTCTCTCACCGCATGGAGTCTTACAAGGAGTTGACTTGTGAGTTTTTGGCGTCGATGAAGCATCATGAGTTTGATGAGCTCGATCGAGCTGAGTTGGACCAAGGCTGGGGGTACATAACTTTCTAGCAAAGGGAGAGAAGAAGATGGTGACCTTTAGGCAGCTTGAGATACTGTTTGGGTTCACCTATGGAGAAGGTAACCAATGGAACATCAAGGAAGAAGAACTCCAAAGAGTATGGGCTACAATAGCTGAAGAGGGGTACTCTTCCTCAAGGTCCAAGGCTGCCCAGATCAGAAGTCCTGTGCTTAGATATGTCCACAAGGCTCTTGCAAACACCTTCTTTGCAAGGAAAGCCACTGGAACAATCAATGAGGGAGAAGTGAAGCTCCTTGACATGGGAATCAAGCCCATCATCTCACGCACAAGGATGGGAAGAAGATCAGAGGAGATAGGGCACACGCAGGGAATCTCATGCCTCTCCTTGAGCAGCTCCAAGCCTACAAGGTCACAGCTTACAACACTAGGCACCAAAGAGGAAGAAAGCTTAGTGTTGGAGGGGTGATCACACCAATTCTTTGTGCAGCAGGAGTTCAAGTGGACAAGAGAAGGTCTACTCCACCAGGTTGGATGGACATCAAGTTTTGCAAGACCAACCTCCTCATTGAGCACAAGGAGTTGGATGGGAGATTCCAATTCAAGTTCACCCATCCACGGCTGGACCCTCCAAGCTTCTTCTGCCCAACCCTGAGCTCACCACGGTCCTAGGAGGTACAAACATTGACTTCAGACCCCCTGTGTACACTTTGGTTGGGCATGAAGCGGATTTGCAAGAAGAAGAGATCGAGCTCGATCGAGCTGAGGATCGAGCTGAGTCAGCTGAGGATCGAGCTGAGTCAGCTGAGGATCGAGTTGAGGCGCTGATGAGGATTTGGGTGAGCCTGAGTGCTATTACTTTGAGGAGTATGAGGCTCCAAGGATGAACCCCTCTGTTGTGGCTGCCCACAAGAGGATTGGACTTCTCCAAAAGTTCAACAAATGGCAAGGGAAAGCCATTGAGAAGATGCAAAAGTCCATGGACAAGATGGTGAGCAAGATCAAAAGTTTGGAGAAGAAGGTTTCTGGTTCTTCAAGCAAGAAGAAGTCCAAGGCCCCACTTTCCCTAGGAGTAGATCACTCCTCACCACTCCAAGGAGGCTCCCTGCCCAAGAGCCTCACAGAGCCTCTTCTTTCGAGCCAAGGGAAGGAGAAGACAACACGCAGAGAAGGAGGAAGACTTCCAAGGCCAGACGCTCCAGCTCGACCACCGGACTCGATCGAGTCCAAACAGAGGAAACTCAACTCGATCGAGCTGACGGTCGAGCTGACCTGGAGGAGCCCCAGTTTGAGAATCCGGGATTTGAGTACGATCCCAGCCTTACCAGGAGCCTCCCCGGAGTAGATGGAACCCCTATGGACAGTACGAGCTACCAATGCTCCACCAAGGCCAAGGAAGCCACACACATTTCAACGATGAAGAAGAGGAGGAAGAGGAGCCACAAGCTCGATCGAGTGAGCCGCAAGAGGCAACCCCAGTTGCATGGAGCGCTCCTGATGGCCGTCTCCCATCTCCAGACCACGACCTAGTCTCCCAGTTCTTTGGGGGACACTGAGGTATCCAAACACCAACCCTTGTATATACCATTTCATATTTTCTTGCATTTGTTCTTGTTTTTTCTTGGTTTTGCCCTCTTGAATCTTTCACTAAATTTTTCTCACACAAGGGACTGTGTGATTTAAGTTTGGGGGAGGGTTCAAGAGATGATTTAACCTTGTTTTCTTTGTTCTTAGTTTTTCATTTATCTTTTGCATAGAAAAACCAAAAAAATCATAAAATTTTCAAAAAATCCAAAAATATTTTCATCTTTTTGCATTCATATTTGTTAGACTTGTTTAGGATTGCATTTTTCACTTGCATTGTTGATTTGACTTTGAAAACTTGTCCATCTTTTGCGATTTCTTGAGTGCCCTGTTTTTAGATTCTTTTGTGCATTAGGGTGAGATTGATTGAGCAGCAAGAACCATGTTTATCTTGATCATATCACTGCATGCACATCTCATTCAACCATTGCTGTGATTTGATGCATTTCCCTATCTATTTGAACCATAACTTGATCTTTAATTACCAATGCTTGCATTTGATTTCAACTCATGGCTACCACATACATATCTGGACATTCTTTACCATTTTCATATCCCTTTTGCTTGTCCAGATAGCTGATCTCTATCTTTGAGACAGTTACCACACCTTAAACCTAAGCCTTTTCATTTCAAACCCCATTATTATCTCTTGTGCGAATGTGAGAACCTTTCTTGGCTTTGCTTAGCATAAGGTGTTGTGTTTAAACCGGCAGGGGCAGTAGTTCTAGTTGTCTAGTTCTCTTGGGATTGTTTTCAGGCTAAGTTTGGGGGTGCCAACTCGAGCTCGATCGAGTTGGGTGTAAAAACCAGAAAAGTGGTAAAAGTTGGGAAAAACCCAAAGGAAAAAGAGTTTGGTTAAGTCCAGGGAGTTGGCAGTGTTTAAAAGGGTCTAGTAAAGGTTTGGGAAGTTAAAAAAGGAAAGTAAAAAGGGTTCTAAGTAGAATGAAAAGAAGGCAAAGCCTCAAGTGTCAAAAAGGAAAGAAAAGTTCCCTAAGTGTTTAGAAAATCCCAAACCGCTAGATGTTACCTCAAGAAGCCTCTCCCTAGGAAGTTCTTAAAAGAAAAGTGAGCAAAGCTCCTCAGTTTCAAAGGCGAAATGCCAAAAAGGGTAGTTAGGATTTTGTTCTAAAAAGCTCTAAGTGTTGAACTCGATCGAGTTAGGATTAGGCGGCTCGAGCTGCTGTTCTTGCATCATCTTTGGTTCTAACACTTAGCCTTCTGCCAAAGCAAAGCCACTTTCTTGAGAGATCCCTGTTACTAAACCACCATACAAAAGAGACCCTCTTTGTCTCTTAACCCATAAACCCTTGAAACCAAATGAGTTGATTGATCTTGCATGTTTTTGGTTCACTGTTTTTGCTTAATGAATGTTAAAGGGATTTGCTGATTTGAATGCATTGTTTGAGTGACTGTGAAGTGGGATTGATGTTGATAAGCATGGTTAAATCTTAATGAATATCTCTCACCTTGTTGCATTCTAGAATCTCTAAGTTGGACATTTAGCAAATCGCTTTTGAGGACATGTTTTTAAGTGTTGAATCAGCTATTTTCAAACCTCATCTCTTTCTTGTTCTATTTGTTTGCTTGAGGGCAAGCAAAGTTCAAGTTTGGGGGTGTTGATGTACTTGCATTTTACATAGTTTTAGCACATCTTTTATGCATCTTTTGCATAGTTTTAGCTTCCATTTGCATCATATCTTGTTCCTTTTCTCTTCTTATGCATTCATGTTAGTTTTAGGTTGCATTTGCATACATATGCATGTTTGGTCCTTTGAAATAGGTCTTTTGGAGCATTCTGGAGCATATGGGACAAGGAGCATGGAGGGACTTGGCACATGGAAGCAGCTCAACTGGATACGCAAAGGAAGAAGGGAGAAGCCATCTTGAAGACCAGCTCGACCGTCCACTCGACCAACCGGTCGAGTTCCTCAACTCGACCGGCCAAGCTTCAACTCGATCGAGCTGGAAGTCAAAGTCAAACCCGAAAAATGTTGCTTCCCCCTTGACTTCCTTTGACCCTAAACCTAATCCTCTTTGTATTTAAAGGCTCTAAGCCACGAAAAAACCACCAAGCTTTAGATTACTTTTGTTTTAGTTTCTTTTAATTTATTGTCTTTTACTTTTTAGAGATCTAATCCCATCTTTGTGTTCTTGAAGCTCTTGCTTCTTGAATCCTAGATCCTGGATAATCTCTCTTGTATTTGCACTTGCTTATTTCAATAAAAGTTGTTTAATTTCATCTCCTCTTTCTTATGATGTCTCTTTTATTGCATTTGCTTGTGTTTACATTCATGTGTAGTGAGTAGTTACCCATTAGGGTTTGAGATGGGATAGATTAGAGGTTTCATATGCTTAATCCTTCTAGCTTATGGTCTTAATCTAGATTCTCTCTCTTTTGGATAGATCTTAAGGCTACATGACCACTACCCCTGGCTTGTAAGTCCTTAGGCGACTCCCCACACGAAAGTGATGGCATTCGCTGGAAAAGATCCACTAAGAGCTCCAATATCTCTTGCTCTAGACAATAGAGGTCTAAGGGGTTGGATGGATTAGTTTGGGCAATGATCCTATAGCCTCCAAGGTTTGATTCTCACTGGCTAACCCCCTGTTTCTGAGATCATTCCTTGGTTGATAGCCTCACCTTGGGAAAGGGTTGGCTAGGCATTGAGAAGCCCAATATCAAGAGAAGCCTTGATACAAGGAGTTTTAAGAGCTAGATTGATTAAGTGTAGATTCCTTTGATTGCAAAACCCTGTCTTGAACCCTAATTCTCTCTTTATCTTGTTAAAGTCGTCACCTTTAGCTTTGTTTGTCTCAACTCGTCCCTAAACTCGATCGAGCTGGTACTTTGCTCTACTCGACTCGAGCTCTTGGTCGAGCTGACTTCACTGCTTTGTTTACTTTTATTGCACTGCTTTTCATTTTTTTAGGTTGTTAGTGTTACTTCAAATCTATAACTGCTTGCTTGACTTTGGTTGTTTCATATTCTCAAAGAGTGACAAGTTTCCCATTTTGGATTGATAACCTCTTATACTTCAATGACTATGATGGTTAAGAGGAATTGATTGATTGTGATTGCACCATACCATATCATCTTTATTCACCCCTGTTTGCATTCCACCTCATTTCATATCACTTCACACACACGCAAAACCTTATCATCACTCACTGGAGCCTATTGTTGCGGAGGGTAGACTTGATCTTGAGGATTGGCAACATCAGTGTTACTGTAGGACATGGTAGGGTGTGACTTGTAGCCATAGTAACCGTTTTGATAACCTCCTTGTCCATTCTTAGTGTAGCACACTTCAGCAAACTGATTCTCCTCCTCTTCTTGGCCTTGAACCATCTCTTCTTTAGAAACAAAGTTGGCCTTCTTCATTGTGGATTGAGCTAAGATAAGCGTATCCAACTTCTCATTCAAGTGACATCTTTTCTCAACTTACTATCAGACTCGATCGAGTGGTGGGTCGAGCTCCTGTTTGTGCGATCATACTCTCTCCATAGCTCCACTTGAGTTAGCAATGTTCTCCACAAGCTGCCAGCCATCATCTACATCTTGATTGAGGAAGTTCCATTGCTAGCTGTGTCTACATCTCTATCTGGCAACATCCTCTATAAAGAGTGGAGTAGATTCATTGTTGAATCCATGGTGTGGGCACTGACTTGTGTACCCTTTGAATCTCTCCCAAGCCTCTGCAAATGTCTCATTGTTTCGCTGATGAAGCTGGATATCTCTCCTCTAAGCTTGGCTGTGCGACCGGTGGAGAAAAACTTAGCAAGAAAGGCCTTCTTGCATTCATCCCAAGTAGTGATTGTGCCATGGGGCAAGCTCTTCTCCCATTGGTGAGCTTTGTCAGCTAGAGACATAGGAAAGAGTCTCAGCTTGATGGCATCTTCAGAGACACCATTGATCTTTGTCAAATCACATAGCCTATCAAACTCATCAAGGTGGTCAATGGGGTCTTCACTTGGCAATCCATGGAACATCTTGTTCTGACAAGGTTGATCATTCCCAGCTTGATCTCAAAGTTGTGGTTCTGCACTGGTGGTGGAACAATCCCTTGTCTCTGTTGGTGGCGGTTTGGAGCATCTCCTTGACCAATCGGTCGAGTTTGCCTAGCTCGACCGAGTCCATTACCCAAAGGGTTTCCATTCCCTCTGGTATATCCATTGTATCAGTAACAAGCACCTCAGGTTCCTCTTGTACCTCTGGCCTCTGAACTCTGTTTTCTACCCGTTGTGATGTCTAGCTCGACCAAGTCTCTGTTGACCGACTCGATCGAGTTCGCATACACCTGCAAAAAGAGACAAAAACCCAGCAGTACAATAGAACAGGGGTGGTATAGCTTGATCGTCCAAGTGTGTTTGAAACTCAAATGCAACAAAAATACCCAAATCGGCAACGGCGCCAAATTGATGATAGGATTTGTGTGTGGATGTGAAAAGATATGAAATGAGATGAGTGGAATGCAATCAGTGGTATATGATGAGGTGGTAAGATGCAAACACAAACACAGTCAACAATTCCCTTTAACCATGATAGTTGATGTAGTACAAAGGGTTATCAATCCAAAATGGGAAACTTGTCACTCTATGAGAATATGAAACAACCAGGAAGTCAAGCAAGCAGTTAAAGATTTGAAGTAACACTAACAACCTAAATAAAATGAAAAGCAGTGCAATAAAAGTAAACAAAGCAGTGAAGTGTCAGCTCGACCAAGAGCTCGAGTCGAGTCAGAGCAAAGTACCAGCTCGATCGAGTTTAGGGACGAGTTGAGACAAACAAAGCTAAAGGTGACGACTTTAACAAGATAAAGAGAGAATTAGGGTTCAAGACAGGGTTTTGCAATCAAAGGAATCTACACTTAATCAATCTAGCTCTTAAAACTCCTTGTATCAAGGCTTCTCTTGATATTGGGCTTCTCAATGCCTAGCCAACCCTTTCCCAAGGTGGAGGCTATCAACCAAGGAATGATCTCAGAAACAGGGGGTTAGCCAGTGAGAATCAAACCTTGGAGGCTATAGGATCATTGCCCAAACTAATCCATCCAACCCCTTAGACCTCTATGTCTAGAGCAAGAGATATTGGAGCTCTTAGTGGATCTTTTCCAGCGAATGCCATCACTTTCGTGTGGGGAGTCGCCTAAGGACTTACAAGCCAGGGGTAGTGGTCATGTAGCCTTAAGATCTATCCAAAAGAGAGAGAATCTAGATTAAGACCATAAGCTAGAAGGATTAAGCATATGAAACCTCTAATCTATCCCATCTCAAACCCCAATGGGTAACTACTCACTACACATGAATGTAAACACAAGCAAATGCAATAAAAGAGACATCATAAGAAAGAGGAGATGAAATTAAACAACTTTTATTGAAATAAGCAAGTGCAAATACAAAGAGATTATCCAGGATCTAGGATTCAAGAAGCAAGAGCTTCAAGAACACAAAGATGGGATTAGATCTCTAAAAAGTAAAAGACAATAAATTAAAGAAACTAAAACAAAATAATCTAAAGCTTGGTGGTTTTTTCGTGGCTTAGAGCCTTTAAATACAAGAGGTTTTAGGTTTAGGGTCAAAGGAAAGTCAAGGGGGAAGCAACATTTTTCGGGTTTGACTGTTGACTTCTCAGCTCGATCGAGTTGAAGCTTGGCCGGTCGAGTTGAGGAACTCGACCGGTTGGTCGAGTAGACGGTCGAGCTGGTCTTCAAGATGGCTTCTCCCTTCTTCCTTTGCGTATCCAGTTGAGCTGCGTCCATGTGCCAAGTCCCTCCATGCTCCTCATGTCCCATATGCTCCAGAATGCTCCAAAAGACCTATTTCAAAGGACCAAACATGCATATGTATGCAAATGCAACCTAAAACTAACATGAATGCATAAGAAGAGAAAAGGAACAAGATATGATGCAAATGGAAGCTAAAACTATGCAAAAGATGCATAAAAGATGTGCTAAAACTATGTAAAATGCAAGTACATCACTGCTTTATGCAGCATCCGCCAATGGTCATAGTGTCTGACCGAGCCAAGGCCATTGCTAGAGCATGTGAGATTGTGTTTCCTTGGGCCCTAAGAGGAATATGTTACTATCATCTCCAAGGTAACATAGTCAGGGATTTCCAAGCAAAAGAGATCATGTATATGGTTAAGGGTGCAGCTTACGCTCATACAGTTCCTGAATATAACCACTACATGGACCTCATTCGAGCTGCAAAACCTGAGTTGGCAACTTACCTAGAAGAAGCAGATCCGAAATTGTGGTCAAGAGTTCATTTTCCCGGTGATAGATACAACATAAAGACGAGCAACATCGCAGAATCAATTAACTCGGCTGTTAAGAAGGCAAAAGGATATCCCATTCCAAAGCTTTGGGAATTTATAAGGGAGAAGCTTGGGAGATGGTTTACCAAGAGGCGGGAGGATGCTTTGAGTCTCACAACTACCCACAGCAGAGGAGTTGAGTACATTTTAGCTGTGCGTTCATACTATGCGGCAAGTATGACCGCTGAACGCATAGACACTTGGTGTTATCACGTAAAGGGAGGAAAACGTGATTGCAATGTTGACTTGTTCCGCAGAACGTGCTCTTGTGGGGTGTATGATGTTGAGAAAATTCCTTGTACTCATGTCATTGCAGCCGCAGCCGCAGCAAACGTACTAATGTTCCATTACGTGTGCGATTGTCATTCTAAACTTTCCTTGTATTCAACCTATGCACATCCGATCTACCCTAAAGCGTGATCTGACTCACACGTAAAGAAACAACCGTGTTTGATTCCAGTTGAAAAGGTCCCTCCTGGCAGGAAGAAGAAGTCGAGGTGGCTAACTTGGCTAGAAATGTCGAGGAAGAAAAACAATAAACCGATGAAGATGCACAAGAAGTACAGCTGCTCTAAGTGTGGGGAACCAGGACATACTCGCCTAAAATGCGTAAGCTCATCAACTATATCCTTCTTTTGTATCCACCTTGAAAGTCTTTAACAATTATCCTGGGAATGGTCGAACAGGTCGCAGAAGACTGATGTGAAGTTGGATGAAGTGTATATGGGAAGTCTACATATGAAGACTAATTACGTTTCTCTTTGTGTTTTCAATACTCCTGAAGTCTATCCATGAAGTCCACGTATGAAGTTTATCATCTGTTATTTTGTTTCGCCGTTTTAGGGTGGTATAATGGAGGAAAACTAAGTTTTTTTTGTTGTTTTTGGAATATTGAAGTCTACATAGGAAGTCTATCTATGAAGTCGACAGGTGAAGTCTATCATCTGTTATTTACTTTGGCCGTTTTAGGGTGGTGAAATGGAGGAAAACTCAGTAGATTACCCATCACAACCTCACAACAATGCAAACATGCATACAAACACACAAGAGATCTGACGGCATAACTTCTCTCCTAGAAGATTATCCATCACAACCTCATAACACATTATATAAATTTCTGCAGCATAACTCTCCACAATTTTTACTAAACCTTATTGTTTAGAGAGTTATACTACAGAACCAATAACCAATATGAACAGAAAGCATCTCCCATGCTTTGGTGTTCATACAACCTGCATACACACACAAAGATCCAAAATACTAAAACTATAACACCAAGACTCACCACTTTAAGAAGACTTCAAGATCCTCCTAGCTTTCCTTAAGCTTTGATCTTGACCTACTCTAATCTTCCACTAACCTCACTTAATTAAGAAAACTTTCTTAATTACTCTCTAATCACTTTTCAGGTGCTCTCTAGCTTTGGGAATGGAATGGTTTGGACTTGGGGCTGGAGGAGCGTATTTATAGGAGTTCAGGAGGCTGCCTGGCTTCTTGGGACGTCTCCAGTCATGCGCAGACACATGGAGACCTAGGTCTAGCATAGCTTTGCTTGGTGGCGACCTACACTGCCTCAGAACGCGACATCCAGGCGGTCTAGGCTAGGTAGCTTTGATTGGTGGCCTCTAGGGCGTCTCAGGACATGACACACGTCATTCCTATCCCCTCTCAATGCTCATCCAATGAGCCGACTTCCCCCAAGCATGTGGTGTGATCGTCCGATTGGTTATAACTCATCTTATCCATTAAGATGTGGGTGCTTCTGTCTGATTGGTCAGCTCTTGATCCAATCCGTTTCTGCATCTCTCCACTTGCTTCTCATCCACTCCTGAAGCTTATACTCTCTCTCAGTAGGTTGGTGTTGCATCCTGATTCGTCCAAGTCATTTCGTCTCCATTGATCACCTCAATGTCTCCTCTGATTGGTTTGGACGATTCTTGTCTCTCATGAGCAGCTGGGTGTCTCTCCCTGATAGCATTAGGTATTCTTGGAGCTTATCCACGCCCTCTCTCCTCTTTAGCAGCTGGTGTCGTTGCCCAATTGGCTTGCTTCGTCTTCATTCGGTAGCTGGATGTTGCTACATGATTGGCTGAATGGTTTTGGCTCCATCTGAGTAGCTGAGTGTCTTCTCCATATTGGTTAGATCATCCTTATCTTCTCCAAGTAGCTGGTGTCACCACTTGGTTGGCTTAGAACAAGATTGCTCCAAATGTACGTTTCCTCGTCCAGAGGGTTTCGTACGTTTCCCTGTCTGGAGGGTTTCGTCCCCGTCGTGCTTGAGAATTAAAATCTCCTATTTTAATCCTTCTCTCATTTCCATGTTTCTGAGCTTCCACATAGTTGCTTGGAAATGTGCGGAATACCTCCATCCCGAACATTTACGTTTCTTGCAGTTGTGCGGGATAGATCTTGGGCGTCCGTCCCATCTCTCAATCTGCTCGTCCGATTTGCATTCTGCTTCGACCAAACTTCTTAGAATGGTCTCTTATGTCGTCCAAACTCTTCTCTTCTTGATTTGGAGAACTTTGATATTTCGTCGTCCTGTTGACTCTTCCCATGTTCGTACAATGATCGTCCCACCTGGACAATCTTGCTGTATCTTCACTTCTGCTCGATCGTTCTTGATCCTGTCTTGATCCAAGTCTTCGTTGTGATCTCTGGATTAGATCCCACGTCTTTGTCTTCCAATCCCAGAGTGTTGATCTTCCCATCCCGGCCTTTGGGATGTTTTAGGTCTTGATACGGGGTATCACAGACGGTGTTCGGCTGGTTTAAAAAAAAATTAATACCTCCTCGGTTAACCTAATCCGAACCAAATTGATTTGAGAACATAATAATACAACCAATATTTAAGATTTAT